AGGGTATTTATTAAGAATTTTTTCAATTTTGATCATGGAGATAACAACCACTGTATTTTTCTATACTGTTTTTCCTGGTTTTAAGTGTCTCATGAACAGAAATTATTGTCTACTCTCTTGTAGACTATATTTTAAATCTAAATTGAAACTGAGTTTTTTATAGCTTTATTGCAAATGTAATTGGTTTCAGTAGAATACCTGCCTAAGAATAAAGTTGTCAGAATCAACTCCTTGAGCACAGATTATTTCATTAGAGAACATACCCAGAAAAGGCCTATCATACAGAATTATTGCTGGTAATGATTTACTGGGACCAAGTCAACAAAGACCTTGAAGACTGAATCAAGCTGTGCTGGGAGGGGAGCCTAAATTAGGCTTAGAAAAGGTAGCTAATTACAATTAGTAGTTATAAATGGGTCTGCACATTGTTACACATTCTGATCTCTGTTATTTTTAATTTAGCAACCTACAGGTTAAACTGTTGCTGCTTACAAAGCACTATTCTTTTTTTTCCCTTTTATTGATTTTAGAGAGAGAGGAAGTGAGAGGGAGAGAGAGATAGAAACATCAATGAGAGAACACAGATTGGCTGCCTCCTGCTCGCCTGCCACTGGGGATCGGGCCCAACACCTGGGCATGTATCCTAAATGGGAATCAAATCGGCAACCTTTGGTGCATGGGTCGATGCTCAATCACTGAGCCACACCAGCTGGACCAAAGCACTATTCTTAATGGAAGGAGGATTCAGAGTCTGTCCCTGCCTTCAAAAGAACTTAAAAAAGGTTCACATGGAAATAAGTGGAGTGCATAGAAAGTCTTGCTGGGGTGAGGGTGTGTGTGGCCTCTAAGTATGGAAGCGGCCTGTCTCTCTTTTGTGTCTCCCAGTGTTATGGTTTGGAACATTGGAGTTGAGGGAAAGAATGGCTTCACAAAATGCTGGAGCAGTAGCTAACCTGGTGCTGCTACCAAAGATGAACCTGCTTTTCATTTTTATTATGAGTACTCTTCTTTCTTTCCTCCCTCCCTCCCTCCCTCCCTCCCTCTCTCTCTCTTTCTCTCTTTCTCTCTTTCTCTCTCTCTCTCTCTCTTTCTCTCTTTCTCTCTTTCTTTCTTTCTCTCTTTCTCTCTCTTTCTTTCTCTCTCTCTCTTTCTCTCTTTCTTTCTTTCTTTCTTTCTTTCTTTCTTTCTTTCTTTCTTTCTTTTCTTTCTCTCTTTCTCTCTTTCTCTCTTTCTCTCTTTCTTGTTTGTTGTTCCACTTATTTATGCATTCATTGCTTGATTCTTATATATGCCCTGACCAGGGATTGAGCTCACAACCTTGGTGTATCAGGACGATGCTTTAACCAATTGAGCCACCTGGCCAGGGCCATTATGAATACTTTTAAGTACACACATAGATAGAAAGACTAATATAGTGAACCCTCATATAGTCATTCCTCAGATTCAGTAATTGTCAAGACTTCGCTAAATTTGTTTTATCTACACATTTTACTTTTTCTTGCTATTGTGTTTTAAACAAATGTCAAACATCTGTCATTTCAATCCTGTGTTCTTCAATATGCATCTCGAAAAATATGGCCATTTTCTTGATCACAATGCCACCACGAATCTAACAAAGTCCAGTAATTCCATGGTATCTCATAGAGGATCTCTCGCAAGCCTCATTTCAGGTTGTACTTGCCATTTTTGGTGTCTTCAAGGTCTTTGTTGACTTGGCCCCAGTAAATCATTACCAGGGATAATTCTGTATGACAGGCTTTTTCTGGATATATTCTCTAATGAAAGAATCTGATTGTTTTCAAGGAGTTAATTCTAATAACTTTACTCTCAGGCAGGTATTCTACTGAAACCAATTTAATTACACTTACAATAAAATTGTGGAAAACTTATCAATCTGAATTTAGATTAAAAAAAAAAATCTTCACCCGAGAATATTTTTCTATTTATCTTCAGTTAGAGTGGGATGGAGGGAGGGAGGGAGGGGGAGAGAGAGAGAGAGAAACATTGATGTGAGAGGGACACATCGACTGGTTCCCTCCTGCATGGCCTTGACCTGGGCCAGGAACTAACTGCAACCGAGCTACGTGCGCTTGACTGGAATTGAACCCTCGACTCATTGGTTCATGGGCTGACGCTCTAACCGCTGAGCCAAACTGGTCAGGACTGAATTTAGATTTAAAATATAATCAGAAGGTCCTGGCTGGGTAGCTCAGTTGATTAGAGCATCATACCAATTTGCCAGGGTTGTGGGTTTGAGTCCTGGTCAGGGTACATACAAGAATCAACCAATGGCCCTGGCCAGTTTGGCTCAGTGGTTAGAGCGTCGGCCCGTGGACCAGAGAGTCCCACATTCGGTTCTTGCTAAAGGCATGTACCTCGGTTGTCACTGGCCCCAGTTGGGGTCGTGTGGGTGGCAGCCAGTCAACTTATCTCTCTTACTTTGATGTTTCTCTCTCTCTCTCTTCCTCTCTTTCTCCCTCACACTCTATCTGAAGATAAATGCAAAAATGTCCTCTGGTGAGAATAAAAAAACAACAAAAAACTGTAGTCAGAAGGAGCTGTCTTTGTAACATACATTGTGATAGCCTAGTCTGGTATGGTTATTCAGAAAATACGTAGTCGGAAGATATGATAATATTTGATACTCAAGACACAAAAAGAGCTGAACATGGTTGAGTTCTTATAGGTCTTAACATTGATAGTCGGACTCTTATTCTTCCCTCCTTCAACTATTTAGCCACTGAAATGCAATTAATTTACACTCCTGAAACTACCAATAGTACATCCTTCTCCCTCTAATACATGAGCACACACAGATGCATATCCCAAAACATTCTGGGATCTAGAAGAAGAAAAGTAGGCAGCCCGGCAGTCATGTAGATGCTTACTTCTTTCCATCAGGGGCAGAGTAGATTTTTTTACTCCCTGAGTGTTTATACACAAATTCTTAGTCATCATCTGATCCTGTGGATTTGTCATATGATTTCTAACAATATATTTATTTAAACTAAATATTGCTATTGCAATACATATTCATTGACCAAAAGGGAACTCATTATCTTTCCATGTTCCCCTCTCTGTATTTTCTGTCTTGGTTAGTGACATCATTGTCCTCCCATATAAGAAATTCTAAGACTTTTCCCTTGACTCATACTGCCAGTTGGTCATCTTTGCAATAGCTCTTTTCACTTCATTCTAGGTTTCCAACCCTAGTTCCAGATCTTTAGTGCACATCTGAATCCTTACAGTAGCTTTTAATTTGCCTCTGTCTGTCAGTTGCTTTTCCTGCCAGTCCATTAGCTCATTACTGCTGGTTGCCATTCTAAAATAGAAACCTCATTACATCATTCTGTTGTGCACAAACCTCTGTAAATTCTTAGTCGTCTACAGACTAAGAGCCAGGGACACAGAGAAGTGCTGTGTGCCTCAGCCACATTAGACTACATGCTGTTACTTCATGTACCCTGTACTTTTATTCTTCCCTGCCCTGCTCACATTGCCTGTCTTCTAGAATGCTGATAAATGGTGGAGGGGAGAGTCTAGCCCATGTGCTTCCATTTATTATGCTGAGTAAATAAAGGTTATTGGGAATTGGTTGTAAAGAAGTTGGTTTTTTTTTTTTTTTTAAAGCCTCTTTAGTCTTTTATTTATTATTATTATTATTATTTTTTTATCCTCACCCGAGGACATTTTTCCATTTTTTGTTCAGATAGAGTGGGAAGGGAGAGAGAGAGAAACATTGACGCTAAAGGGACACATTGAGTGGTTGCCACCTGCACGACCAACCAGGGCCTGGGACAAACTGCAACTGAGGCACGCGCCCCTAGCGGGAACCAAACCCAGGTCTCTGGACTGCAGGCCAACGCTCCACTGCTGAGCCAAACCGGCCAGGGCGGTTGTAAAGAAGTTTTAATTATTTCTTTTGGTTTTATCAAATCAGTATGCAACTGTAGATGAAAAATATTTTTGAATAGTTTCTAAATTCATTACTCCAAAAAACTTTTACTGAAAAAACTTTTTTTTTTTTTTATCCTCACCTGAGGACATTCTTCCATTTTTGTTCAGCTAGAGTGGGAGGGAGACAGAGGAAATAAGAGAGAGAGAGAGAAACATCGAATTGAAAGGGACACATAGAGTGGCTGCCTCCCACATGACCCCAACCAGGGTTGGAGATGAATCCCAACCAAGGTATGTGCCCTTGACCCAAATCAAATCCGTGACTCATTGGTCTGCGGGCCGACGCTCCAACCACTGAGCCAAACCAGCCATGGCCTGAAAAAAATTTATTGGGATGATGCTGGTTAACAAAATTATACAGGTTTCAGGTGCACAATTCTACAGCACATCATTTGTACATTGTATTGTGTGTTCACCACCCTAAGTCAAGTCTCTATCCATCACCATTTATCCCCCCATACCCTCCTTCACCTCCCACTACTACTCCCTCTCCCCAGCAATCAGCACACTGTTGTCTGTACATTTTTTTCTCTTTTTTCTTTTTTGTTCAATCCCTCCATCCTGGCCCCTAGCTCTTAAATTTTGTAGTGATGCCAAGTACTTTCTTTGAATATTCAAATTCTGCCTTTTACTTTTGTTGTTTATTACACTTTGTGGCAGGGAGGAAGAGGAAGAAGTTAAAATAAAGGAAGTAGATTATCAGTCAGGGAGAGGGAGAGAAACCTCTGATATAAGAGGTTATCAAAATACCAGCTGTTTTGTGGTTTGTTAAGGAGGAAATATAGTTCTGCCAGGAAAAAAAAAGAGAACTCCTCATTTCGAAATAAGATTCTTTGTTGCATTAACATCTTATACAATCTGTCTCAAAATGTAGAACTAACAAAGAGTGGGAATCTTTTCACTTAGTGACTGCAGTTTGTTGCTTTAAATGAGATCTTTTAAGATTTACCTGGTTTTGTCATGAAAAAAAAGAATTCTTATGTTTGTGTATAGACTATCAAGAATATTATCATTCAGATGTTATTTTATGTCTTTATTTCCAGACAAAAGAAGTTAGAAAAAGTGATGGAGGAAGAAGGCCTAAAGGATGAAGAGGTAATTAAAATCAGAATTTTTTCTCATTGAAACCCAGCATAGTAGGTCATAATCTTGTTCAGCAAGTTGTTAGTCTTAGTGCACAGGGGAAGGGCTTTGGCTTAGTAATAGAAATTTAGGAGGGAGGATGGCTCGTGTGCTTCTGGATTTAGGTGTTCATGCAGAGGGAGGAGTTAATTATTAAGTATCCAGGAGAGGAAGACTTCTCTAGGTACATTGATAACAAATTAATTATAATTAATTTAGAATTCCAAGTAAAGGAAGAGATGAAACCAAATTAAAATGTCAAAAAGCAACTTATAGCATACTTACAGAATTCATTGAAAAGGCTCTGTAGAAGTGGGACAAATTTCTGAAATCATTAACAAGGCAAAAAATCTCTCAAATCAGCCCTTTCCTATAATGCCCACAGATGTGGTGGGAGAAAATGCAGTTAAAATACTGTGCCAGGAACTGAATTGGCAGTGGAAATGCTTTCAAAAATAGGAGTAAATTGCAGAACCCAGGAAAATAGTGAAAAGTACCCCAGATTTGTAGGAATAAAAGAAAACAAAATCATAAAATGAACTGCAATGTGTAAAAAACCCAGAGGAAAATTTAAAAACACACACACTTTTACATAATGAAGGTTAAAGGAAAATGTTGTTGATTATCCCTCCTTTATTAGAAAGGCTAGAATAGTGGATTGCTGAGATAGATTACCGAAGAGCCCTCAGAGAAAGCACTCATCTATCCATTGTGGTTTGATTATTGTATCTGAAGGCTGGGGAAGACAGAAGTGAGCTGTAAGGGTCCTTCCTTCTGTGGTGCTTTTGTGGGTGAAAAGAGTATGCTTAGTCTTGTGTGGCTCTGCTTTCCAGATGGGTCAAATCACAAATGACTTTGTTGCAGAATTTCAACTCCTCTCCCTCCCATCCCTTTCTCCTTTTATTTAAATATTAGAAACGGCTCAGGAGATCAGCTCATGCTCGGAAGGAAACAGAGTTTCTTCGTTTGAAGAGAACAAGACTTGGACTGGAAGATTTTGAGTCCTTAAAAGTAATAGGCAGAGGAGCATTTGGTGAGGTAAAAAAAGAAAACCCCACAGCTACAGCTACTTATCCAGTATAAAAATACCACAGAACTTCAAAGCTTCTAACATACCATGAGCTCATGATTGTTGATACAGTTGAAATATGGGGTAGGCGGGTCAAGCATGCCAGACCCACATCCTAACTGCTCTGTCTGCCCTCCTCCTTTCTTCCTTCCTTTCTCCACTGTCCCAGCTCTCTGATTGTTCTTCTCTGTTTTGCCAGATCATGTTGATGTTTTAAATATTGATCTAGAGGGAGAGTTGAAAGGTAGAAGGAAATCCATACTTATTATTTACTGTGTTTTTCTCCTATAATCATGACAGTAACTCATTATAGATAACTCGAAGGGCAAAGATAATGCTGCAGTATCACAGCCATTGAGCAGTGGTACTAGAAGTCGGCCTCGGTTTCCTGATTTTAAAGCTCTTGTTTTACCCAGTACTGTACCACATTGCCTCTCCAGGAGTGTACTGACAGCATATCTCCACCCTTCCTGCCAGATTGGTACAGTGCTAAAAAGATGGCCCTAGGGGACAGGATTTGTAGAAATGGGTTATATAGGTAGTGGTAGTGAGTTGAAAGAATTTGTAGCTTTGTCCCAGCTAGTCTTGCAAATGCATCCTGCTTGGTAACAAGAGCAGTCTGGTGGGGAGGGTTTGAATGAGCCCATGCAAGGTCATCCCCAGTTTTTTTTATCCTCACCCAAGGACATTTTTTTTTTTTTTTTTTTTTGCATTTATCTTCAGATAGAGCAGGAGGGAGAGAAGGAGGAAGAGAGAGAGAGAAACATTGATGTGAGAGAGGCACATCGACTGGTTGCCACCCACATGACCCCAACTATGGCTGGGGACATACTGCAGCCGAGGTACGTGTCCTTAGCGGGAACTGAACCTGGGACACTCTGGTCCGTGGGCCAACGCTCTAACCGCTGAGCCAAACCAGCCAGTGCAAGGTCGTCCCCCTTAATGGATAACACCCAAAGTGGATGACTGACTGATGCAATGGTTTTATTATCTCTGTGTAAAAGAAGCATCATATTATTGAAAATCCTACCTTAGGGAAAGTAAGTGCATGTTCAAAAGCACACAGGTGGAAGATTAAATTGATCCCTCAGCATTCAGAATCCCTGTTGGCCCCTTAAGAGAGAGAAATGGTAACACCTCTGAATTGCTTTCTATTCCGTGAGGAAGGGACATGGGGCTCAATCAGGAAAACAAAGGTATAGGGAGAAGAAAACATATATATCTTGGGAGAGGAAGGGGAGGATGTGCAAGGAATTGCCAAGAAATTTGGAGGGGGGCCATTTGTAGGCCATTAATTTTTTTTTTCATTTATCTATGTATTCTCTAAAAAACATTGGAAAGTTAAGAAGAGAAAGAAGCCCAGCTGGTGTGGTTCAGTGGTTGAGCGTCGACCCATGTACCAGGAGGTCGCAGGTTCGATTCCCAGTCAGGACACTTGCCCAGATTGTGGGTCTGGTCCCCAGTGGGGGGCATGCAGGAGGCGACCAATTAATGTTCTCCCTCATTGATGTTTCAGTCTCTCTCTCTCCCTAAAAAAAAAGGAAGAGGAAGGAAAACTACATAAAACCCCATTTTTCTAATTATACATTTTAGGGTTTTTTTCCTTCTAGACATTTTTTCCTACTCATGAGCTTTTGCTGTTGTTTTATACATTATTGTAATCATTTACTTAGGTTTCCTGAAGTGACTGTGTGACACGGGTTTAATGAGTCCTTAAGTTCAAAAGTGAGGGTTCTAAGTTTGATTTGTTCAGCTAGGGAGCCAAAGCTATTCACATGTGGAGATATCTGAGGATGTTTCCAGCACTGACTTCACTGGGTGTAATATATCCATTTTGGTACATCAAAAGGAATTTTCTGCTGCTTTGTTATTGCTAGTTGCTTATATTTATATTGTAATCCTTTTTTTTTGTTTAAATATTACTTCTTATCACACATGAAAGCATTAGCTTGGCATTGTGAACTTTTAACTGGGCATTTTTTAAATAACTTTTAGGTGCGGCTTGTTCAGAAGAAAGATACAGGGCATGTGTATGCAATGAAAATACTCCGTAAAGCAGATATGCTTGAAAAAGAGCAGGTAAAGCACAATTGTAATTGGGATTTTAGTTCGCTTATGAAGTTTTTGTCTCCTAAGATTGTTCTTTTTGCTTAATTGAAATGTCTGTTCTTATTACAGTTTTCTTTAGCTCTGTCATGTATGAATATACATATAGTATTACTTTTCTTTATCCAACAAAGACGAAGTAGTTACATATATTTTAAAAGTACAAGTAATATTTGTATGTTATGCGCAATCTTTTTAAAAGTTGAAAACCTACTAGAGACACATCTGCTCTTTGTGAGGGCCAGTTGATCACAAGTTGTCTTTATCGTGAGCCAATTTTGAGGTAACACTTGATGTGGGGGCATGTTCCTTACTGGATGCTGAGAGATGAGAGAAATTGTACTTATATCTTGGAGCTGAGGCTTAGGAACTATAACTTGGAATTTGCAATTTAAAATGTGTCTTAATATATTTTATTCTGTACACAGAAACCAAAGTTGGGTCTTCTGAGTAGCTCATCATTGCCTACAAGAGAAGTCTTTCTGAATGAATTTGAAAAAAATATGTAAACTTCAGAGCAGTGTACATTTTTTTCATTAATGACTAAGAACACTTTCTAAAACCTAAACCTACTTTGCAAATAGATTTATAAGATACATAAGTAGTTTATGCAAAATAAAATTTAAATATTGGACAATATATTAAAAATGAGAATGCAGACATTCTGTAAATCTAGTTTAATTTAGCTGGTTGCTTAAGAACAGAGTATAGTGGATGACACCTGCAGATGTCCTGTACAAGATCTTCGGATGCTACAGGAGGACAAGGGGAGCTCTAGGATGGAGACAGGCCCCACACCTAGCCCTTCTGCCTCTTGCGAGGAGGTATAATTACTGAGGCTTCATTTAAGTCCCAGTTCGACACTTGGAATATATATTTTCTCTTTAATTTTCATGTTACCCAGAAGCTTTACATTCCCAGGAATTTCGATTGAAAGTATCAAAATACCCTGGCAGTAAGTTTTCAGACACTATGGTTTATGCTGACATCAACCTTATTAAAAATGCACACCAGCTCTATTTATGTATTATCTAAAAACTAGTGTGTGGTCTGGGAGTAGGCACTGAAAGAGTTTCAGTTGATCCTGAGAAGGAAACTGTACAGCTGTATTGATTAGTCAGTGTATTTTGTATTTCACAAGTATGTTTTATTTTTACAAGACATATTTCCTATAGGTTTATCCAGAGCTCAAAACCTTTCTTTTTTTTTTTTATCCTCACCCGAGGACATTTTTCCACTTTTTCTTCAGATAGAGTGGGAGGGAGAGAGAGGAAGAGAGAGAGAGAGAGAAACATTGACGTGAAAGGGACACATCGAGTGGCTGCCACCTGCATGACCAGCCAGGGCTGGGGACAAACTGCAACCGAGGTACATGCCCTTAGCGGGAACCGAACCCGGGTCTCTGGACTGCAGGCCGATGCTCTAACCACTGAGCAAAACCGGCCAGGGCTCAAAACCTTTCTTTATCAAATAATAAGCATTCAGAATAAAACTGTAAAGATGCACACATCATAATGTTATTAATCCTTCATAGCATATGCCAGTTCAGCAGCACAGTGACAGAGATGATCCAGACAGTGTGTAAAAACATTTTCTCAATATTGTACCTTCTTTAAAATGAATTTCTAAAACTTGTCTGTACGAAAGTAAAGAAAATGTCTGTTAGAATTAGGATTTGAGTCCGCCTTGCTGTTGGACTCAGCTTCATGGGTTTGATTTCAGTGTAGGCCAGTTCAAGTTTCTGGCCCAGGCTCTTCCTGGGTAGCCGTCTTAAAGAAGCTGGGTCAAAGTGGAAGTAGACCAGTGCAAATCCATCACTTGGGTACAGCTGACAAAGTTTAGGTTCAGAGTCTAACTTTTTGCAGGTATAGGTGCCTTGTTCAAAGGAAAAGTTTTTTGCTTTTACTAAACTGAGCAAGAATGAAAGCTACCCACTGAGAATTTAGGTTGCTATTCTAGCCCACAGAGTGTTTTTTTCTACCTGGAAAATACATTTTAAAGAATAAGAGACCAGCACATAGCTAGTTTCTTCATGTTTTTCTTCTAGTGCAAAAGGAAAATCTCCAATTGTGATACTGGTCTTGTGGTAGGATGGGACAAAAGACTGGCTTATATCTGCTTTCCTACTGCCCAGGATAGTAACTGGCATGTAATTCCCCACCCATTAAATATTTATGGAATAGGGGAAGGGGAACCTCTGGTGTGAATTGTGCCTCTGGCTCTTCTGTCTCTTACCCTATTCACCTGACTCTACTCCTAGATCTTGAGGTTTCTAGCTACTAATTCAGCCCCAGGAGAGAAGGGCAAGGTGAGCTCACAGAGACTATAGCTTTCCCCTTGACAAACAGGGAATGTTGTAGTCACCATTCTGTCTTCCACGGAGAGTGACAAGTGGTAATAGTATAGTGCCTCACCTTTTCTCTGGCTCCCTGCAGTAGGGAGTGTCCTTACCAGGAAGCAGAGCTAGAAGCAGAGACAGGTGAAGACTGCCTTGTACAGACTTTCTGTGCGGTAATAACTGGGTCAGAGCCACAGCTGCAGCTCAGCAAGTGGCATTAGTGTTTCCCAAAAGCTTTGCTCCTGTTTAAAGCTGAGTAAAGGCAGTAGCTTTACTGGGCTTTGTCATGATTCATAGCACGGTTCTTTATCACCCTATGTTCCATTTTTTCCACCCTCATGCTGTAAGCAGAGATGTGAAAATGTGAATTTTCTGCTATTTAAAAATTTCTCAAAGAACAATTTTAGCAGCAACTGAAAACTCAAATAGTAAGTAAACTCAAATGCCATCAGGCCCCTGGGAGTTAGCATGGAAGAATGAAGCAGGTGAGGTGTAAAACAGGAGAGAGGGGTAGGATTTGTGTCCAAAAGGAAGAGTGGCTTTGCTAAAGATATTCCAATAAAACAAACAAGCATATAGAACATTGTAGCAAATAAAACAATACCCATGGTGTGAGTTCACCAACAGAAGTGCAGGTTTGTGAACCTTGGTACATCTTTCCCTCTGACCATAATGTAAACTCAAGTCCTGTGGCATATGTTAAGACCAAAACCTCTCTTCAAGGAATGGACTGGGTTTGATAAATTTAGATCTTATTCAACCCAACTTTGCATCTTGTGACACTTATATAAGAGGAGGGGGTGGGATTTGATAATATGCAGCACTGTTTTGATTACTATTATATATTAGATAAGGTAAATTTCATAATGAAACATTATTTTAATGAATTCTACCAGTTCTCCCAAACCTTTGGCAACTTGGTCTCCTTAGCTAGATATTATAGTAAGAGTAGAAAACTAGAAATGTCTTACATTTGAACCTTAAAGTTTTCTTAGGTGTTCTTATATTTCAATTTAGTAAGAATTGATTGAGCACATACTCTGTACACAGCAGTGACCTAAATACTATTGTATCATACCATTATAGAACTGTCAACCAGGGCACCATCATTGCAGGTACCTTTGCACACCTGAGCCAGGACTTGTCTAGAGAATCTCATCTTGAGACTTACTTTTATCATAGAAGAGTACATTAGTCCCCTGCTTATCTGCAGGTTTGCTTTCCATGTCTTCATTTACCTGTGGCCAATTGTGGTCTGAAAACATTAAATGGAAAATTCCAGAAAACAAACAGTTAATGCATTTTAAATTGAGCATGGTTCTGAATAGTGTGATGAAACCTGGTATCATCCTGCTCCATCTGCCTGGGATATGAATCATCCCTTAGCTCGGTGTATCTATGCTGTGTACACTACCCACCTGTTAGCCACTTAGTAGCCGTCTCGGTTATCAGATTGGCTGACATAGTATCGCAGTGCTTGCGTTAAAGTTACCCTTATTTAACTTCATAATGGCCTGAAAGCGTAAGAGGTAGTGAAGATGGCAATTCGGGTATGCCAAAGAGAAGTTGTAAAGTGCTTCCTTTAAATGAAAAGGTGAGTACAGCACAATAAGATATTTTGTGAGAGAGACCACATTCACATAATATAATATATTGTTATAATTGTTCTATTTTATTATAAGTTATTGTTGATCTCTTATTGTGCCTAATTTATAAAGTATGTTTTATCATAAGTATGTATGTATAGAAGAAAGCATAGAATATATAGGGTTCCATGCTGTCCTTGGTTTCAGACATCTACTGGGGATCTTGGAAAGTATCCCTCTCCAGCAAGGAGGGACTGCTGTATTAGAACAAAAAGATATACAAAATAATGGCAATTTTAATTAATCAGAGGTTCGATTTTTAGCATTGTTAAAATTGCCATTTGCATTATACAGCCATTCATTTTGACATTTTTAAGCCTTTCATCACTTAAGTTTTCATTATCGAATATCTTCAAGTCAAATGTCAATTTTGAGTTAGTAGGTTTGCCTAATCATAAATTAGATCTTTTGCATCATCACAATTTCTAACTCAAAATAGTATTTAAATTGTTTAAACAAATATACAGTCTAATAAAGCAAAGCAAGTCTTGTCATTAATCAAATGCATATACCTCCAGGTTGGCCACATTCGTGCGGAGCGTGACATTCTAGTGGAGGCAGACAGTTTGTGGGTTGTGAAAATGTTCTATAGTTTTCAGGATAAGCTAAACCTCTACCTAATCATGGAGTTCCTGCCTGGAGGTAATTACTTGATGATGAAAGGTCATTTTTCCTTTTTGTTCTGTGGTTTCTTTCTCACCTCAATTAACCCTCCTTTCTAATCCGTGCTCACAAAGTTACTTTCTATATCTTTTTTAGGTCTATAAAGGAAGTCAGTAACCTGTTTTCTGCTGGGTGCCTTTCTACAGTTTTTAGTGCCATAAAAGTAACCTTCTCATTCATTCTCATGATTTCAGATGGACATTTCTTTCTTTTCTTTTTCTTTCTAAATATATAGGAATAAACTAGGGTCTCTGCCTGCTCTCCTGTCAATGGGAATCATGTACAATCAGTTACCCAAGTGACAAAATTGAAACTATAACATTCTTTGCTTCAACTCTTTTGTTTCTTTTTCTAAAACATATTAATGAGTGAGTTTCTCATCACCTATATTAGTAGCCAGAATCAGTTTCTCATTTCTGAGGTTTTAAGTTTTATGTAGCTCAGCATGTGCATTTCCTAAGACAGCTGCAAAACAAACCCAGAACAGGACATACCATCTCTTCTGGGAAACATAGTCTGTTCCCAGAGAGCAGATGAAATGTGAGAAAACTGGTGGGAAAAAAAGAAAAGTTTTTCTTTTTTGGTTCAATAGCAAAGCAAATATAATTGTGGCATAATATTTTGATCTTGTGACACCTTTAGTTTAGATATAGGGTCATCAATAATTTTTTTATTAATAATTGATGAAGGTTAGAAAATAGACTGATAGGATGAAGAGAAACTTTTTATTATTTAGATGCCAATTCTTAAATAGTCACCAGCCCCTTGACATGTGTCTCCTCAAGACTTACCTGGACTATCTTCATAGCTTCTCATATCTCTCGAACCCTGCCCTTTGCACTTGGTAGAGTTGGCCTGTAGAGCCATAGACCATCTGGTCTGAGCTCTCTGATCATCTGGGCAGGCTTGCACAGGTGGAGCCATTGGCTAGGCTACACGGCTACCTTAGAACTGGCCTGAGTGCGCTGTCCCTGTGTCACTAGTGTGTCTCCAGATTGAATGTGTGGTTGCCAGGAGTGAGCAGGGATTCATATTTTTCAAGTCTTGGGTCAAAAAAGAAAGCATTTTTTTTTTTTTTGGTACGTGCCCCTAGCGGGAACTGAACCCGGGACTCTGGTCCACAGTCTGACACTCCAACCACTGAGCCAAACTGGCCAGGGCAAGAGAGCATTTTAATAAAAGATTTGATGTGAGGTTTTTTTGGCCTGGGAGTAAAATATCCACTTTTCTCTAAGAATATGAAAATTCCCCAAAAGTTGTAAATGAAACAAAATTTAAAAAGCAGCATGATGCTCTGTTAAAATCAGAGGTTTCTTTCTTTTTTCCCTATTTCTAACTTACCCGGCTTTATATGATATCTAAACTGAACCTTTTCTGTTTCTCTTAGCTTTGAACTACTTAGACATATTTTCTTTGCTTTTGTCTGTCTAACCGTTGAGTTAGGATCAGAATCTTTGTTTTGGCATTTTATGTTGTTGGTATTAAGCAAAATTAATTAAATTTTGACTTTGCAGAAAACAAGGAGGTTACCTTTAATTGCTAAACTATTGATATTGTGTTGTAAAAATTGCATAAAGCATATTAGTGTATATTTAAATACCTGTAATAAAACACCAGAAGAAAAACCCCACTGATCTTGGGAGGTGTTCAGTGTGCACTTTGGGGAGGCAACTATCATACAGTCTCTGTGGAGCATTTTTAGTATATTTTTAGTTTTTGCTGACTAGCACTTTGCTTTCTTTTCAAACAGAAATTGGAGAGCTTGTTTTCAGCCTCCCCAAGTGTTTATATTGTTGCTTGGCATTTCAGTCTCTCTCTGTAACAATGGCAATACAACCTATGTGGAAATATCATTTTGTTCTAGGTACAGAGAATTTTGCAGATATTTGTGCAGAACAAGTTAAAAGTAAAATAGCTTTTATTTGTAGTTCAAAATTTTATCATAAACAAATTTACTTTTTTTTTTTTTTAGCATGAGAGAAATTTTCTTTTTCTCTCAAAGTAAAGTGTGGAAATCATAGCTCATTGGTAAGCATCAGTTAGCTTAGGTGAAAGTGCTCTATTCTCTGTAGAGTGAATTTTACCTTTTAAGTGTTAAAAACCACTTACTATTTCTGCCTGTAGTGGTAGTGTGTGTGGCTCAGTCTCTGGAACACAGCAGAGGCTTTATATTGGCAGATAGGGAAGACATACCTGAAAACTGACTTACTCATGTGTTGTGCGTGTGTGTGTGTGTGTGTGTGTGTGTGTGTGTGTGTGGTGGTTTTGTATCTTCTTGTTTACAGGAGACATGATGACCCTACTGATGAAAAAAGACACCTTAACAGAGGAGGAGACTCAGTTTTATATAGCAGAGACAGTATTAGCCATAGACTCCATTCACCAGCTTGGATTCATTCATAGAGACATCAAACCAGACAACCTTCTCCTGGACAGCAAGGTACCATTGGGGGGCGGGGAGGGAGATGGGAAGCAGGTTAGGTAACAGCATGACCCATCTTTATTTACCAATCTGAACAACCGCTGCTTTTAACACCTATACTGCCTGTGATAATCACAGTAGGAAAACTGTGCAGCTGTGAACTAGTGCATTTTTCTCTCTTTTTTTTTTTACAGGTAAGTTTGCTGTTACCTCTTTTCTCTGAAAGGCTTATGATTCTATAATTTTTTTTTTTAATCCTCACCTGAGGATACTTTTCCATTTATCTTCAGATACAGTGGGAGGGAGGGAGAGAGAGAGAAATATCGATGTGAGAGGTTGCCTTCCACACAACCCTTACCAGGGCCAGGGACCAAACTGCAACCGAGGTATATGCCCTTGACTGGAATCAAACCTGTGACTCTGGTCTGCAGGCTGATGCTCTAACCTCTGATCCAAACTGGCCAGGGCCGATTCTATAATTTAAAAATATATATATATATTGATTGATCTGAGAGAGAAAGAGAAACATCAATTTGTTGTCCCACTTATTTATATATTCAGTGGTTGATTCTTATATGTGCCCTGACTAGGGATCAAACCCTCAATTTGACATATCTGGACGATACTCTAACCAATTGAGCTACTTGGCCAGGCCGTGATTCTATAATTTGATTGAATGTTTGTCTTAAAAATAAAGGACTTTTGAAAATGATTAGGAATAAAATTGATTTAGAAGGTTATTTTGTAATAAAGCCAGAAATAGTCATCTTCTATCAGCATATAATTATACTGATGCATCACTTATTGGGAACCCCTCTGTTGGGCAGCCTCATTAGACGGAACCCAGCCAAGAACCAGGAAGTAAGGCACAAGAGCAACAACCACAATACTCTGTCACAAAGTTTAGGTTCCAAATCTTATGCCCTCTGCTTAAAGAAGTCCTGCTCAACCTCTGTAATGGCCTTTTTATATTTATCATTAGACATGCAAATAAGCTTTAGTTGCTTGGTTTTTAAGTACAGAGCAAATCTAGGAGAATTCCCTGTGCTGCTAGGTTGCTGGATACTTCTTGGAAGTCTCTCTACCTTCTGGACCTCACTTACCTAAAAAGTGAATATATTGATTCAGAGAAGCTCCAAAGTTCCTTCCAGCTCTAAAATTGTAGAATGTTATGTTCTGTTACACAAAATTGTTGTCTAGACTTAATTTTTCTTTTAAGTAGAAAGTAAATTTAATTCCTAGAGTATTTTTCTTTCTTGCTGTCTTTTGGTAACTTTCTTGTTATCACTGAAAAACCTGACTTCAGATATTTTTTTAATTCTTTTTTTTTTTTATTATCCTCACCCGAGGAAATTTTTCCACTTTTTGTTCAGATAGATTGGGAGAGGGAGAGAGAGAGAGAGAGAGAAACATCGACGTGAAAGGGACCATCGAGTGGCTGCCTCCCGCATGACCCGACCAGGGCTGGGGACAAACTGCAACCGAGGTACGTGCCCACAATGGGAACCGAACCCGGGTCTCTCTGGACCACAGGCCAACGATCTAACTGCTGAGTTTTTAAATTCTTTTAGAGAGAGGAAAGGAAAGAGAGAGAGAAACATTAATGTAAGAGAGAAACATTGATCGGCTGCCTCCTGCACGCCCCACACTGGGGATCGAGCCCACAACCTGGGCATGTGCCCTGACTAGGAATGGAACTGGGACCTCTCAGTCTGTGGGAGGATGCTCAATCCAATGATCTATACCGGCCAGATGAAAAGCTGACCTTTTATTTTATTTATTTATTTATTTATTTATTTATTTATTTATTTATTTATTTATTTATATTTATTTATTTATTCTTTTATCTCCTCATCTGAGGACATTTTTTTGTATTTATCTTCAGATAGAGCAGGAAGGAGAGAGAGAAACATCGATGTGAGAGAGACACATCGAGTGGTTGCCACCCACATGACCCCAACCGGAGTGGGGACAAACTGCAACTGAGGTACGTGCCCTTAGTGGGAACCAAACCTGGATCTCTCTGGTCCATGGACTGACGCTCTAACACCGAGCCAAACTGGCCAGGGCCATATTTTTCTGTTTCAAGAAGGCAGAAGATTGTCAGATAATTTCTTCTGGTTAATATTTGTTCTTCATTATAAGAATAGTACATGTACATAAGTAGAAAATTTGAACAATACAGAAACCACAAAGAAGAAAAATACCAATAATCTCATCATTCAAAGATAAACACTATTTTGGTATAATAGCTTCAGTACCTTTTCTGTTTGTGTCAATAATTCACATACAGTTAGCATCCTCAAAGTAAATAGCTTGGTATTCTTGGTATTTCAAATGTTAATGTTGCCCTGGCTGGTTTGGCTCAGCGGTTAGCATGTTGGCCTGCGGTTCGGAGAGACCTCGGTTGCGGTTTGTCCCCGGCCCTGGTTGGGTCGTGCAAGTGGCGGCCACTCGATGTGTCCCTTTCACGTTGATGTTTCTCTCTCTCTCTCTCTTTTTCTCTCCCTCCTACTCTATCTGAACAAAAAATGGAAAAATTGTCCTCGGGTGAGGACAAAAAAAATAAAATGTTAATGTATATGAGAGTATTTTTCTGTCATTAAGTTCAGATATATGTGTGGTTTTTGTTAATCCTCACCTGAGGGCCTTTTTTCCATTGAGTTTTTTTTTAGCGAGAGTAGAAAGGAAGGAGAGGGGGAGAAAGAGAAAGAGAGAATCGTTGATGTGAGAGAGAGACATCAGTGGGTTGCATCCCACACACCCCCCTAAGGAGTTTCTTTATTTTTTTTTTTTCATCCTCACCCGAGGACAATCTTCCATTTTTTGTACAGATAGAGTGGGAGGGTGAGAGAGGGAAACATCGACGAGAAAAGGACACATCGAGTGGTTGCCACCCGCATGACCAACCAGGGCCGGGGACAAACTGCAACCGAGGTACATGCCCTTAGCGGGAACCGAACCCGGGTCTCTCCGGACCGCAGGCGGACACTCCAACCGCTGAGCCAAACTGGCCAGGGCAGGAGTTTCTTTAAAAACAAATCAATGGGTGCTCACATGCATGCACATACACACACACACACACACACACACACACACCCCAGCCAGGGCTGAGGATTTTAATCTGCAACCCAGATACATGCGGAATCAGACCTGTGACCCTTCAGTTCGAGGGCTGACCCTCTGACCACTAATGCCAGCCAGGGCTCAGATATGTTTTTAGTAAGGCATTGGCCCAACTTTGTTGGTCTTGGGTTCACGTGTCCTGGTCCTGTACCCCAGGTGCCTTAGTGCTGGCTTAGTTGTACCCCCGTAGTCTATGTTCAGGTTCAGCAAACACTGAAGGATAATATCTTGGGGATTCAATCTAGTTGAGGAGGAATGAGGGATCCTGCTAGGTACAGATTTTCTCTGTATAATATCGTAGCCCAGACTTGTAGAATAAATGTTTTCACAAGCAAGCTCATTTGTGTGTTCAGCCATATAGTTCTTTGAAGTGAAAATGTAGAAGTATTGATTTTCTGCTATATACTTAGAATTGCTGTAGAGTTCCCTGAAAATTAAGGTTTGAAAAGCATTTGCTCCAGGCACTGTTCTATAAGACACACTCCTTTCTTGGAGGTGTCCAGGTAAAACATGTAATTATGAGAACTACAAATTAAACCCTGTTCCTTGACTTGTAGAACAAGTTATTTGCAAATCTGAAAAATAAGATATCAGGTTAATAGGCTCAAAGCTGTCTTTGTTTGACAGTTCACCTTGTGTGCTCACATGCATGCACACCCCCCCCCCCCCCCCCTAAGGAGTTTCTTTAAAAACAAAACAAAGTAAAACCTGACCCATCTGAGCAGGGCTTCTGTAACATTGTACCCTGGGAATTTGTGTGTTAGGGCCTGAAGGAAGGTGGTATTGTGGAATGACCACATGTTGCAGTTGTTGGTGCTCAAACATTGGTGGCACCACTTTTAGTGTAGATCCCTGAGTATCAGGATCACCTTCCCTATTTTTGGTTTTACCTCCTCTACTTAAAATTTAACCACCCTGCGCTGGCCAGTTTTGCTCAGTGGTTAGAGCATCAGCCTATGGTTCGGAGAGACCTGGGTTCGGTTTGTGCTGAGGGCGCGTGCCTCGGTTGCAGTTTATCCCCGGCCCTGGTTGGTCTTGCGGGTGGTGGCCACTTGATGTGTCCCTTTCACGTTGATGTTTCTCTCTCTTTTTCTCTTCCTCTCTCTCCCTCCCACTTTATCTGAACAAACAATGGAAAAATGTCCTCAGGTGAGGATTTAAAAAAAAAAAAATTTAACCACCCTAAGAACATCTTCCTCTTCCTTAGGGCTAGTTCTGTGCCAGGAACCAAGTTAGGAACCTTGTATGCCTTAATTTTCATCATTCCTGCCAGGCAGATGTCATTTCACCAGCAAGCCATTTAATGACTCTGAGTCTGTGAAGTGTGGCTTCAGAGTTATAAACAAGACAGCACTTTTTTTTTTTTAAAGAATAGTTTAGCCCTACCCCTTTTGGCTCAGCAGTTAGAGCGTCAGCCCGCAGACCAGAGTCCCGGGTTTGGTTCCCGCTAAGGACATGTACCTCAGTTGCAGTTTGTCCCTGGCCTCGGTTAGGGTCGTGTGAGTGGCAGCCACTCGATGTGTCTCTCTCACGTCGATGTTTTTCTCTCTCTCTCTTACTCCTTCTCTCCCTCCCACTCTATCTGAAGATACATGCAAAAATGTTCTCAGGTGAGGATAAAAAAAAAAAAAAGAATAGTTTATCTCTAAAGAGAGAGAGAAACATCAGTGGGAGATTGACACATTGATCAGCTGCCTCCTACACCCCCCCCCCCCACCGGGGTTACATCCCAAAACCTGGGCATGTGCCCTAGACTAGGAATCGAACTGGCAGCCCCTTGGGACACTGGGTGATGCCCAACCCACTGAGCCATACCGGTCAGGGCAAGACAACACGTTTAAAGCCTGGTGTCTGGCTCACAGGAGGTGTGAGTTTTCCTTGAAGGGACTTATGATTGGAAAGCAGTCTGGCAACATTTATCAAGAACTATGTAGTAAAGCTTATTCCCTTTGTCTGTGGAGTAGTTTATTCCTTGGAATTTATCGTAATGAAATAATTCAAAAGAAGAAGCTACATGAACAAAGATATTTGTTCATTATTTAATAACCATTTATTAAGACCATCCTCTGTACCAGGCATGGTTAGGGTTGGGAATACAGGCTCTCTGTGTCACAAGGTGCTTGTAAGCCACATTAAAATGAGAGTGAAGAACTGGGGATGAAGTGAGGACCCAGAATGAGGGGGATGTTAGGTAAGCAGTGGTGTACTAAATCATTTGAATATTATCTGTAAATATTAAAACTGATAATTTCCAAGACTGTGTATATACAAACGATATATGTAGAAGAATATTTGAGTTAGTTTAAGAAATGAAATTATCTGTAGATGCTATGGATGATTCAACTATGTTTAAAAGTTCATATTTAGACAAAAACAAAGATAATATGCAAAAATGAAAATACTTTTATTAGTATAATAGAATTTGGGGTGATTTTTTAAAAATGTATTTGCTACCATATATATTTTCTCTGTAATAAAAGACAAAAAAGGCAGCATACTTTTGCTGTGGTGCTGTAATGGACACTGCAAGGAGCTGGAGAAGATGCTGTTGTGTTCCACACACACGAACGTTCATCCATTACCTTGTTTCTTCTTCCCCACAGGGCCATGTGAAACTTTCTGACTTTGGCCTTTGCACGGGCCTGAAAAAAGCACATAGGACAGAATTTTATAGGAATTTGAACCATAGTCTTCCCAGTGATTTCAGTAAGTGTTAATAGTGATGTTAGCCTTTTTATTCCTTAAATGGGCCTAGTAGAACTGTTCCCCTGATAACCAGAATATGTAGGACAGATTAGGAGAGTCTTCCTTTGAGTCTTTTAGAGAATTAAATGATTAGTACTTGTATAGTGAGGCAAGATAAGTGCCGCCAAATGTGTGAAGACAGAAGAGCTTGCTTTGGAGCTTTACAGAGAAGGTTTCTGCGGAGGAATTTGGGCAGTAGAGGAAGAAGTCCTGCAAACAATTTCAGATTAGATTTACCCCTGGTGCTTCTTTCTGGCAGGAAGAAATTTATCTTTATGAGTGTTACTTTCACTCAAGTACTATCATTATGTAGTAAAATTCCAGTTCATTGTAGAGAAGCTTATATCAAATAAAGTATTATAAATTCAGGAGTCTCTGATTAACAGTTACTACTCTTGGAAATTCGATGGTAATTTTGAGAAATTGTAAATGTTTTGGGTCTACTTTGGGACCTTTGCTTCTGATGAGACTGAATTTCTAGTAATTCTGATTAGATTTCCTGTAATTCTGATTAAGCCTTGCCTGTGTTCTCCGGAGCCACACGATCCACATGGAAGTGCTGCTTGATCTCATTGTGTGATTCTTTGAACAAGTGCTTGCTGAGAAATGTGTCATACAGAGCTACTGATGTGTTGGCAGACTTTAGGGTCTCATGTGGTTTGAACCATAGGCTAGAAAAAGGAGTAAACATTCCTGTCTGAACTTTGATTAGAAATTGTCTTCTCTACTTTTAGCTTTCCAGAACATGAATTCCAAAAGGAAAGCAGAAACCTGGAAAAGAAATAGACGTCAGCTAGTAAGTAATATCTATAGCTTCTTAAATGCTACAAGCCAAGTATGAATATGTTAAAAATAGGCACAGAAATTTGCATTTGATAAATGTTTACAGCATATCATATCCCTTGCTTTTAAGATTACCTTAATAGAACACTGTTACTATGTCGGTAACACCAAAGTCATCATTTGGAGGCAGATAATATTAGGTTGTTTTAGTTGTGACATTTTTGGTAGAGGACCTCATTCTGACCGTTTACATTGGTGACGACCCCTGTCCTTCCTGTTCTACCTTTTTCCTATTTGTATGGTGATAAAGGGTTATATTTAAGCTGCAGGTCTCTCAAAATAGTCTAAGTACAGATACCTACCCAGAGCTTTAAGGTTCTGGTTAACAAACTTTTAAAATTTTGATTCACTTCAGCAAGTCAATACTCCTCTATTTACCTGCCCTACCCTTTTCTACTTTGTGGTGGAAAAAAGAACCAGGTGTTGAAAATTGGAGAGAAATTTAAGGGAACTGCTTATTACTTACTTTATAAATACTTGAGTGAATACACATAAGATTATGCCCTACAAGCTTAAAAAATAACACTATTGGATTTACTTTGATAGTATGTTGAAAATTATTTAAATAATACAAATTCACCAGTGAAAAGTTGCTCTCTAGCAAACTTTTATTTTGATTCATTGGTTTATATTTGAAGTGCAGTGTACAGGCCCTGCTGTCTAGTTATTAGACAATTAATAGAAATGTGTTTTATTGCATACTTAGGCTTTGCTAGAAAGCAGTAGTAAATGAAATCAATAGGGTAAAGCTAAACTAGACATTGGTCATTAGAAAGCAAGAGTAGCAACAATGGAAAACTAGGACAAACTCCGAGTGCTGACCATGCCACGTATATTATCTGGACACGGGGGCACTTTTGCTTGTCAGTGTGTATAATACAATAGTAACTTAGCAGGTTCGCCAAATGCTGATTTTCAGCCAGACTCCTTAGTGTAATACTGAATTAGAGTTCTCCGTAGGTTTAATAACTAACTTAGTAGGTCACTAGTAAGTGACTGTCAGTCATGTGAAAATGGAAGCCTGTAGAATTGTTTAAGAAAGAATCAAAGGAGGGCTTGGTTTTTTTGTTTGTTTGGTTTTTAAAATTTATTTGAGGCACATATATGAGCCAAGACTATGCTTTGAGTATTATAATTTTTATGTTAAACATGGGCCCAGGGAGAGGCATTAACTTACACACTTTTGGAGATGCAGTAACTGAAATTAATCTTTGATAATCTTTCTCTAATATTAACTTGGGGATACTTAAGTTTGGTATAGGATCCACCTGGGAACTTAAGAACATACTGATATCTGGGTCTCACCCCCAGGGGTACTGATTCACTTGGTTTGGGGTGTATAGTCTGGGTATCTAATTTTTAAAAGGTTGAAACCCTGTAAGGAAGAGACTATTTCTTAACAATAGCTTCTGCATTTTTGGGACATTGACATTTACCTGTGTTTTGGAAGCTAACAGAAAGGAAGGAATCTTCTTTGATTTTTTTAAGAAAACAAGCCAAGATTTAACCTTTGGCCACTGTACTGATATTTATGTTGGGGGTAATTAAGTTTAAATTATTCATGTACTTTGAGACAGGCTTTATGTTTTTTGACATACACCAAAGGGTTATGTCAGACTTACTAGGAACCATGTAAAGGTCTATAAGGAAGGAGATTTCACAATTTCCATATTTGGAGTTCAGTGTCCTTTAATAATTTAAAATGTTTTTTTGTTTTGCTTTGTTTTTTAATCTGAGTAAACTAAGGTTCTTATGCTGTGATTAATGTCCTTGCCTTTTTATTTTATCTATGATTGAAATGGAAATATATTACAGTCATCCTCATAATTATCAGTTTTGATAACTTGAAAAAAATAAAATGATCTCCCAGTCTTCAAAAGGTTGATTAATCTTGTGCTTTTGACCTTTTCATAGGTGATTCCAAGTGGAAGGTTAATATTTAGTTAATGCTTAATGTAAATTTACTGCTCTGGGTTAAGCCTGTTATATTGCTCACCTACACTATTATTTTTCGGTTCATTGAGAATCACTGAATAAAGTAGAAGCTTAAGGTTCACTTCTTGGCTGCTTAAATCATACTATCATATTTTAAATTGCTATGTCGTCTTGGGTAAGCTTAGACCTCAATAACTGATTAGGAAATAGGTATGTGTCTACTTTAAGTTATTAAACCACAGAGGTAAGAGTTGAAGTACATCTAGGCATTCCATCTTTGTCAGTTTATTTATTTTTATTTTTTTTCTTTATCCTCACCTGAGGACATTTTTCCATTTTTTGTTCAGATAGAGTGGGAGGGAGAGAGAGAGAGAGAAACATCGATGTGAAAGGGACTCATCGAGTGGCTGCCACCCGCACGACCAACCAGGGCCGGGGACAAACTGCAACCGAGGTACATGCCCTTAGCGGGAACTGAACCCAGGTCTCTCTGGACCGCAGGCTGACGCTCTAACCGCTGAGCCAAACCAGCCAGGGCGATTTATTTATTTTTCTTAGTGTAGAATTATAGAAGTAGTTGGGCAGGAGATGAAATTGCTTTATTTCCCCCCAAATCCCAAATGGAATAATAAGTTGGAACATGTCATGTGTGTGAAATGACTATTAACCAACAAAGCTCTTTTAGAACACAGCTCTAATTGCCACTGTAAGTATCCAGCTAACCAAAGGGAAAAAGAAGGATGAGGACTTGAAGTATTAAGAGCTTGGAGTTGGCCCTGGCTGGTTTGGCTCAGCGGTTAGAGCGTCGGCCTGTGGTCCGGAGAGACCCGGGTTCAGTTCCCGCTAAGGGCATGTACCTCGGTTGCAGTTTGTCCTCGGCCCTGGTTGGTTGTGCGGGTGGCAGCCACTCGATGTGTCCCTTTCACATCAATGTTTCTCTCTCTCTCTTCCTCTCTCTCCCTCCCACTCTATTTGAACAAAAAATGGAAAAATGTCCTCCGGGTGAGGATAAAAAACAAAAAAAGAGCTTGGAGTTGGAGGACACCTTGGTATGGAAAGTAGATAATCGTTTGGGAAGGGGGCAGTCCTTAGACTAAAAATACCTACTACCAGTTTGTTAGAAGGAGAGTGAGCTCCTCAGGCACTGGACTGTTGTCCCAGAGAGAGAACGTTGCCTTATATCACAGGTGTGTGCCTGCTGTTGGCTATATTTTATAACTCCAGGAGTCTTGTTAACACCTTCGTATCTTACAGTAATTCTTTTCCTGTGGCAATAAGTCTCTGGTTTCATAATAGAAATCTTTGAACAAATAAGATTTACTTAATATTCAGCTTTGCTGGAATAAATGTAGTCTCTCTAAATTGAAGGGTTTCTGTAGTTTATTAACCTTTATAATTAGAATGAAAATATTTCTGCTTCTTGGGGTGGGCCCAATCCATGTTTTCGACTTAAAGCTTAAAAAAACAAACTGGCATTTATGTTATTGAGTATATGTATTTAAAGAAAACAATGTATAATTATGTATGTAGAAGAAATGGATTTCTTACAGTATATATACACAAAATAAATTGTAGATGGAAAGTAAAACTTAGAAAATTTTAGAAGCAAATACCTGTAAATATCTTTATGACCTCAGAGTAAAGAAGGAATCCTCAAATTCGATATCAGAGGTACAAATCATAAAGAAAAATGTGTTTTATTTTACTACTTTAAAGAAAACAACTTTCTGTATATTGAAAGATGTAAATAAGAAGATAAATCACGTGGTGCAGCTACCTTGGAATTGTCTTGCAGTTTATGTGCATATCCTACAGCTCAGCAGTTCTACCCCATCATGTGCCTTGCAGAAACTCTTGTACCTATAAACTAGAAGACATGTCAAAGAATGTTTATTGCATTTTCATAATAGCAAAAAACTGGAAATTACTTAGTAGTTCCTGTCCATCAATGGTTACATTCTGGAATAGAATATTTTACAGTAGTGAAAATAATTGAACAACAGCTACCTGTGACTTCATGGATCAATTTTAGAAACAAAATATTGAGAGAAAAAATCAAATAGCGGAAGACTGCATGTAGAATACTATTTTTACAAAGCTCAAAAACAAAACTAAAAAAATCTTATTTAGAGAGATACACGGCAAAGTTAAATTTCTTTTTAAAAGCAGAGGAATGATAAACATAAAATTGAGCATATAGGGGTTAGGAGAGGCACGAGGATGAGATGGGATGGGAGGAGGAACATTTAGTTTGAATGATATTGGTAATATTTCGGTTCTTCAGGTGAACTCATTGTATTCATTTTCATTATTATGCTTTATAATTTAATAATTACACATTTTTGGTATGTGACAAATATATCATTAAAAAACATAATAAAATGATAAGCTTCAGACTGGGAGAAGGTATTTGCAATATGTAAAACTATAAAGGATTAATATCCTGAATCAGGATTAATGCCCTGGATTTATAAAAAAAAATCCTGCAAATTAATAAGAAAAAAGATAATGCAAATAAAAAAGGACTAATGGGCAAAAGTTCTGAACAAGAATTCACAGAAAAAAAGACCTGAATGGCTAATTAATATATGAATATGCACTCAACCTTTCTGGAAATAAGAGAAATGCAAAAAGAAACAGTGAAAACAGAGTGATCCCATTTCATATTCATCAGATTGGTAGAAGTTCTACAGAGCCAAGTGTTGGTGAGCTATGGAACATCAGGAACTCGTCCCCACTGTGGGGGGTTAAAGAGGCATAACTGCTTGGAAGGACAATTGCAAGAAGATCCACTGATACTATTTCTCTTACATTCTGTAGTGAAAAATTTGCACAAGTGCCCAGGAGGTGTTACAAAAATGTTTATTCAGGTGTTATTTGTTAGAGTGAAACATTGGAAGCAATATAAGTGTCCATTTACAGGAGAATGGATAAAAAAAAGAAACAAAAAAAACCACCGTTGTTTTTGTGTAATGGAATAATGTACAGCAGTAAAATGGGTGAACTAGAGTTACGTGAATTACTCTCACTCATAATTATAGCAAAAAAAGCAAGTTGTAACCTTGTAGAATAATAAAGTATAATATGAAACCCTTTATTAAAAGTTGAAATATACAAGAAGTAATATGTCACTTATATGAATATTCATACAAGCATAGCACAGCAACTTCAGGGCGGTTTTAACTTCAGTGGGGAGGTAGGGAGGGAGGGACTATCTGGCTTTAATAGTTTATTTTGTTTCACTTAAAAAAACAACAACAAATGATCTAAGACAAATATGGCAGATTTTTTAACCTCTCTAATGGTTACATGTGTATTTTATTGTCTGTGCTTTGTTTTTGTATGTTTGCAGTATTTCATAATAAATATTTTAAAAAGACAACACAGCTGTAATTTTTAATTTTAGAAGTTATATATGGAAAGTTATAATGTGGAAAGTACCTTGATTAGAGAGCCCTCCACGTGGTCAACCCTCCTGTGCTGAGCTCACTGGAAGGCTTTGACTACTTCCCCCGGATGCAGTCCTGGTGTATGAGAAGAGATTATTTGAATTTAGAAAACATTCCTCTAAAAATAGTTAAGTTTGGTAAACAGACATTTATAAACCTTTGACCTGTAGGATATAACTTTAACTTTTGATGCTAATACTTTTATGGTTTTCTCCAAAAAAAAAAAAAAGAATGTATACTGTGAAAAGAGGGATGATTTGGAACAAGATAATTTCCAAACTGCACTCTGCCACTTAACTAGTTCTGAGGCCTTGTGCAGAGCCATTTGGGTGTCAGGTTTTTTTAATTTGCAAAGTTAGGTTAATAAGATCCTCTTTGCTGAGTTTTGTCAGGACTGAGTAGTCTCATAAGCTTATAAGAAGTACAGAGCCTGGCACTTACTGAATGCTCAGTAAATTATGATACTAGTTGTCATGACCGATACCTGTGACCTAGTGAAATACGAGTTTTGGGTCTCTCTCCTCACTGATAGAGCTTTATTAATTTTGGAAGTGCTCTGGCAAATCAGGTTTGCCATTAAGCAGCTAGGCCTTCCAGCATTTTTAGTTTGTGGGTAGCTCTAGATGGTGCTGGTGGCCTTTGGTCTGTAGGATGGAACTCTGGGTGTCTCCTGCCTGCTGGGCCTCTCTGATATGTGGTACGTGTTTCAGGCCTTCTCCACAGTAGGTACTCCTGACTACATTGCTCCTGAGGTGTTTATGCAGACCGGGTACAACAAGCTCTGTGACTGGTGGTCGCTCGGTGTGATCATGTATGAGATGCTCATCGGTAAGTTGCTTGCTTTCAGATGGCTTTTTCTTTGTAGCCAGGAGAGAGTCCTACATTGATAATAAACTCTGTTTCAATTTGGGGTTGATCTAAGCTCTCTCCTCTCCCTCATCTTTCAAAGTAAAGTTTCCCAGATAGAAAACTCTTGGCCAAAAAATGTATCCCACTCTATTCTCTGGCACACTGGCATGCTGTGCTTGCTTTGCTGATCATTTATAATGTTTTTCTTCTGCTTTTTCATCCTCTCCATCTAGCAGCTCTTTCAGTCACTGGCATTGATTAAATGCCCATTGTATGCAGAGAGCTTTACCTGGGCATTGCCTCACATACTCTTTACTTCTTTTTTTTTTCCCCCCTCCTTTTTATTGATTTTTAGACAAGAAGGGAGAGGGAGAGATAGAAGCATCAATGAGAGAGAACATCGATTTGCCACCTCCTTCATGACCCCACTGGGGATTTGGCCCACAGCCTGGGCATGTGTCCTGACTGGGAATCGAACTGGTGACCTCTTGGTGCATGGGTCAATGCTCAACCAGTAAGCCACACCGGTTGGGCACACACTCTTTACTTCTTATTTGCTGTCCTCTTTCTCTCTGAAGGTCTTCAAAGCATGGACCTCTGTCCCTCTTATTCACATGGTATGTCTCATTTAGGGGACACATCAGTGGGGTGGCCCTATGCCCGAGAGCACTAGGAGAGTCATTGTATCAGTGGTGGTACTGGATGTGTCTTTGTGGATGACAGATAGGGCATCCGTCTGGCTGTGTTGTCTCTGGGAGCACTGGGTGGATGCCTGTGGAGTGGATGTAATGTGTGGAGGGCAGGTAGAGTATTATGGGCAGGCATGTCAGTATTTAACCTCTTGCCTGTAGTTTTCAAAAGAAGGATGGTGATCACTTTCAAAACCCATGCTTTCTTATTATTCTACTTGTTTGGCACTTTTAACATATAAGGATGTTCTTAAAATGGACTAGTTCCTTTTTTTTTTTTTTTTTTTAATCCTCAGGATCTGAGGACATTTTCACTGATTTCTAGAGAGAGGGGGAGGAAGAGAGAGACAGACAGACAGACAGACAGACATTGATGTGAAAGAGAAGCATTGATTGGTTGCTTCCTGTGCGTTCCCTGACCAGAGATCAAACCCACAACCTAAGTATGTGCCCTGACCAGGAATTAAACCCAGAACCATTTGGTGCACAGGATAATGCTCCAACCAACTGAGCCACTCGGCTAGGGTAGAATTGTGTCTTCTTTTTTATTGATTTTACAGAGAGAAGGGAGAGGGAGAGAGAAAGAGAAATATCAGTGAGAGAGAAAATTGATTGGCCGCCTCCTGCATGTCCCGTTAGGGATTTGGCCCACAACCTGGGCATGTGCTCTGACTGGGAATCGAACCCGTGACCTCTTGGTGCATGGGTCGACGTTCAACCACTGAGCCACACTGTCTGGGCTGTTTCTTCTTTTTTTAAGTGTTAATTTACCAAGAAAACATAGCAATTTTATTTTTTATTATTTTTAATATGTTTTTATTGAGTTTTTTTTAGAGAGAGAAGGGAGTGGGAGATAGAAACATTGATGTGAGAATGAAACATCGATCGGCTGGCTCCTGCATGCCCCCACTGGGGATCGAGCCCACAACCTGGGCATGTGCCCTGACCAGGAATCAGAGCAGGACCTCTCAGTCCATGAGCCACACTGACCGGGCTGGAGCAGTTTCTTAATGACATTGTTTCATCCTTTCATTTCTTCTTTGGGCACAGTGGTTCCCATATCTTCAGCTCTACCTATGTCCTTCTTTCTTTTCCCAGCTCTAGCTATTAGCTGGTTCCCTACTGGTTCCAGAAGCTCAGCTTTACTCTGGATTTGGGAGTTTGGGAGAAGATAAAATACTGGTTTATGTGCTTTGTGGGAGGAGTGGAAATTCATGTCCATGTCATGGAGGGAAGGATATAAACAAGGTCATTAAAGATACATAGAGTTGTATTAAGGAAAATAATCTCAGATTCAAAGCTCTGCAATGTAAAAGCTCCAGGTTTCTTTTTTATTACAGGCTACCCACCTTTCTGTTCTGAGACCCCTCAAGAGACATACAAGAAGGTGATGAACTGGAAAGAAACTCTGACTTTTCCTCCAGAAGTTCCTATCTCTGAGAAAGCCAAGGATCTAATTTTGAGGTATTGGTCAGAGAACATCTCCCTCGCACCCACCCAGGCTTTTTGACTTGAGTGAATCCATTTTTTTAAGCTTTCATTATTTCCTGGATTTGCCCCCCGCTTCTTCCCATTTCTCTTTTTTAACGGGGGAGGTTATTCCTTTTATTTTTCCAAAGCGACTACTTGCGGTATGCTGAAAGGCCTGTGTCTTTTCCAGATTCTGCTGTGAGTGGGAACATAGGATTGGAGCCCCTGGAGTTGAGGAAATCAAAAGTAATTCTTTTTTTGAAGGTGTTGACTGGGAACATATCAGGTATAACCATATAAAAGCTTTCAGGATTACTTCAGAAAGTCTAGTTTGCTTACTACTAATTTGGAAGCACCATTATTGGCAAACCAAGTAAGGGAAGAGATCTTTTTAGAAATTCAGGGCCTTTTCCTGATTTAAGTTTATGGTGAGGATTGGGAGTTGGAGCTTCCTGTTGGCCCTGGGCCATGGGATATGTTGAAGCTATTTCCAGCGTGAAGTGAACTTTGGGTTCCATGGTGAGGGGAACATCTAAGAAGCATAGTGGCCTTGCTTTCACCGCATCACACCAACCTCTCTAGTGTTGGGGACCACCAGCAGGACTGCCGTGCCCAGAGGGTAGGGACTGTCCCTGTGAGATGGAGAAGGAAGGAGTGTGGTAGAGAGGGAGAGGGAGAGGGAGATTGTTCTGGTTCGCAGAGTGCCTCCAGCCTTCTGTGGCCCAGGCCGCTTACTCAGGCTTGTGGTAGCAAACAGAAGGCAAAGAAGTTGTCATCTATTTCACGCTGTGTTTTGATTCTGCATCCTTATGATTTTTTTTTCTTTATTTATTTTTAGAGAGCGAGGAAGGGACAGGGAGAGTGTGAGAGAAACATCGATGAGAGAGAACATCAATTGGCCGCCTCCTGCATGTCCCCCACTGGTGATCGGGCCTACAACCTGGGCATGTGCCCTGACTGGGAACCGAACTGGCTACCTCTTGGTGCCTGGGTTGACATTCAACCACAGAGCCTTATGGGCTGGGCTATACTCGTGATTTTTACCTTTGCCTCCTTTGTGCCACATTTTTAGCCACCGTGTTTGTTGGCACCTCCCATACAAGGGCAGAGCCCTGTATGAGGGTACTCTTTGAGGTCCAGGTCCCTTTTCAACAGACAGGGCAAGTCATCAGGGGAAGTGCATAACTTTGGTCTTTAATTTCTCCTTATTGTTCTAGCTATGAATAATTGTTATTTATTTTTATTATAATTTATTTTGTTTGACTCTAGTTAGTTGGCATGGTCGGTCCATGGTCAGAAGCTTTTCAGAGAAAATAACTGCTGTCTGCCAGGGGACAGCCTTCCTGTGTCAGACCAGGGGTCTTCTTTGGAGAAGACTAGATTAGTTATGACCCATGTGATTACTAATCGTAGTAATTTTTGGCATGTCTGTTCTTGGCAGAGAGAGACCTGCTGCGATATCTATTGAAATCAAAAGCATTGACGATACCTCAAACTTTGATGAGTTTCCAGAATCTGATATTCTCAAGCCAACAGGTAATATACCAACTGTGCCTCCTGCTGCCTTACAAATGTGTTATTTCGACCCAGTGTGGGGATGATGTTTACAAGTCAGAGTAGAGAATGTGGAGAGGAACATCAGTTTTTTGGGTTCTTTGTAAGAATTTTCCAGTACTGGTGCTGGGTAGCAGCGAGACCTTGTCCCGTGGAAGATGGATACGCGTTCCTGGGCTCAGCCTGCTTAGCAGAGTGGGTGAACTGCAAAGGTCTGATCTCTTGTTGCTGATTATTACATTAAAGGTTAGGTAACCTGAAATAACAGAAAGGGAAAATAAAACTTTAAAAATACGTGTGAAAAAATTGAGGGTCAAGGAACATATAGGCAAGCAAATGTAGAAAAGTTGCATCGAGTGAAAAATAGCTTTTCCCAAATAGAAAACTGATATGTGCTTCAGAATGTCATGTCTTCAGTACCCAGGGGTCCGCCCAGGTAAGGCCGTGAATCAATTTTCACATCTATTTCTTTCCCAGTGGCAACAAGTAATCACCCTGAGACTGACTACAAGAACAAGGACTGGGTCTTCGTCAATTACACATACAAGCGCTTTGAAGGCCTGACTGCGAGGGGGGCAATACCTTCCTACATGAAAGCAGCAAAATAGCGTCCTTGAAATGGAACCCTAAGTGCAGCAGCTCTTTGTATAACATCTCGGTGTTCCTCTCACACACTCTTTTGCAAGAACTTCCAAGAAGTTTATGGAACCTACCCGTATGTCGCGGTAAACTTGCCTGAAATGTGATAGTGAGTGGATTCTCTCCACAGTGCATCTGGAAAGCTGTAGAATAAAGACAGCCATTTCTACCACGTCGGCCATAAGCAGCTTCTTTTGAAGCATCATGAGCCAATTTGATAGATGTTTGTTGTTGTTGTTTTTTTAAACTTGAGTTTTTCTAAGTTCATCAGAATGAAGAGGAAAAACAGCCATCATCCAACATTATTGAAATTGTAACATATTGAATATCAGCCAATTCCCATGATTTTGTGATATGCTTTCTGCCAAGCCCACCAAGTATTTCTTTTTTCTTTACAGCTAAAAGTTCCATAGTACTAAGGAAACAGCAATAATGAAAGCCTCAGCAGCCAGCATTCTGGCTGAAGATGCCGATCCACCATCCTCTGAGGGGTGGTGATGATAGTTTCTCCCCGACCTCGCCTCAGGCGAGTGGCTTTTTATAGCCTCCATTCATGGTGCACTTTATTTATGGTACTAGGATAAAGACCCTCAATCCGTTGATTTATCTCCTCCCACTTATCTGAAATACCCATGCTGCTTTTCCGAGTGTTGAGGGGGGAATACCTGCCTGATTCATTGTTGCTCTTCAGAAGGCCCCCAAAGCCACTGGCGTTGCCAAGGAGTCCTGGATCATGCGGAAAGCCCTCGCTTTCTCTTCTCGGCTGTATCTGAAAATCTGTAAGTTGAATGTTGCCATGGACCAGCAGTACCCGCAAAGTACAGCCAATAAGTACTTGGTCTATTCCTGGCCCGGAACCGTCTTGGCTGAGGTGATGCTCCTGCTGGGTCTCCAGAACCTTCTTGGAAGTCGTGAAGGAACCAGCTCAATGAAAGCGCACAACCAGCCTGCAGATCTTTGTCCAGTTCACTCCTCAGTCCTTGGTGCAACTGTGTTTTGTCTTCTCTCTCGGTATACGCTCCCATCTTTAAGTACCGTTTTGCCTTGGAATTATGATTACAGATATTTCCTTTGCAGATGCCTTCTTGGGGGATGTTCCTCTCCACCCTAAAGGGTGGCCTGCAGCTTGGGCCGAGGGGGCCCCTGCTGTGACGTTCTCTCATGAGACACCCTCTGAGTTTTAGCACAAAGTGCCTTCTCTCTTACAGCTGCCACCACCTTTAGAGGAATTTTGCTGTGTCAGAAAATTGTGGAGGCTCCATAATAATGCATTATTATTTTTAAAATTTTGATAACTCTGAAAGCATCATTTGCACCTGTGTGGTAACGTTCCCTGTTGCAGAGCGTCGTGGCCGAGCTGCAGCTGGGCAGCTGCTTCCTGCCGGTTTCGATGTTGAGATCAGCTTTGAAAGGAAAGCATGGCCCAGCTTAGCCGTTCAGTAAAGAAAAACGGAATTCAAAGTTACAGTAGTAAGTGAAATGCTTTGGATTTTAATATCTTAGAGGAAGAAAAAAGAATATTAAGGAAGTATTAGCTCTGGATGAAGGTAGTATGTCTGTCTCTTATTCTTTCATTCATGGTCTGTTAGTGAAAAGGAAGTAAATGAGATTCTTTTGTGTAACTTTGTAGTTTCTTTGTATTACCAAATAGTTGGGGTGTTGACCCCCACATGTTTTGCAAGAGTATGTGGTAAGCATGGGTAAGGATATGTAATGGGAGTGGTGATAGTCTGTGTGTTGGGGAATAGCAGGGGATAATTTGTTTTCAGGGGAAATGTCCACCTTTTAGCTTTTAAACTTTTGAATAAACTGTGTGAAAAAGTAGTGAAATGTGTGATGTGTTCTAGCTCAAATACGGCTATTAATTCCGAGACAGGGCTAGCGCTGTGCCCAGCCGCAGGCCGCTGCTTTCGTCTCAGAGGAGCTGGGACCTGAGTCTTTGGGATTGCTGCCCTTACAGAGACTGTCTTCTGCTGGCCCCACGCGTGTTCTTTCCACCTGGTTCCGAGTTCCAGGGCAGTGGGCTCTCCCCAGTAAGGCCCAGGGGATACCTTTCTGACAGAGCGCTCTCAACTGGCGGACCCTTTGTACAGCTCTTTCCAGTCCAGCCCCATTTTCCCCCCATCCTGGGGTTGACCAGGAATGTCCAAAGCTCTCGGGACCGTATTTCTCAGTGCCCCGTGTCCACCAGGGCAGAGTTCTTTCTCCAGATCTTACGTACTTGAGTCCTGTGGGGTCCCACTTACCCCTTCTCTAGGCGAGGGAAAGAAGCCTCTGAAAGAGGCAGGAGGGAAGGGGTAAAGCCCGGGGTCGGACCCACAGGCAGAGGGAAGCTAAATGCAGTCAGAATGTGTACTGTCTTCACAAGGCTCGTTGGAAACATGTTGGGATTAGCTCAGTGTTGGTTCTGTTCAGAGATGATTCTGTTTCCTATCTTAGTGGGAGTTAGAAAGCAATAGAACTTGAACGGGACTACTTACTAAAACAAAACTGAATACTGATGTCATTCTTTTTGACTTAGACTCTCCTCGATTCAGAGGGCATCAATTTTCTTCAGTGCCTGTTTCTTTTTAGAATTAGTTTCAAAAGTAACATACAGACGTATTCCTTCGGGATTAATAGTGTTTGAATAGCAGATTGCTAATTTCAAAACTCATCCATGTGGCATAATAGGAATCCTCTATTTATTACTAATAGTTTTTCTCTGAATCATTTCCTTGGAAAGCATATTTCCTGGATCACCTTCTTTTGTCTGTCTGTCCTGGGCCTTTGTGTGTTACCTGTTTTTAGAACAGGTGAATGGTGTTTTCCTTTGCTAGGTAGCATACATTTTCCTGGAATTGTCTGTCAAAGCCAACCTGACTTAAAACCAACCTCCACATGCTTTTTCAGGCATATTCTCAGAGGAAAACATCTTGTCCAGATAACATTTAAGCACCCATAACACACAGAACTCAGGACCAGGCCCTCTGTGGTTCTGGACTGCGGGTCAGTGTGGGGGTTCCCACCGGTGGCTGTACAGAATGCAGCATCATTGTGAAGTTAGTATTTTAGTATTGATGTAACAATACTATTAAACCAGCCCAAAGTTGTTGGGAAGCTTCCCAGAGATGTTTGCAAACAGCAGTGATTTGGCAGATGGGAGTGAGCCGTCCGGGGTCTCGGAGGTGGGTAGTTATGGGCTTGTGCTGGGCAGCGGCGTGGGGCCGAGTGGTTATTGCTTTATGAAGAGCACTGCGGTCACTCTTGTTACGTCATTTCCCTCTCCTACTTCAGCCCCTCCTCTCTGGTGCCTGTCCATTGTTGAAATGTTAGTATTAATTCTCCCATGTATAAGGCATGCTAGTGTTCATTTTTATTCTTCCTCTGGTCACTGGTGTCCTGCCGCATCCATTGGCTTCTTGACTCCTTATTTGATCAACCTGCTGTACTCACACTGTTGACTCTAAAAATGGCTCCCACCACCCCTTTTGTCCCTCACCTTTACATACCCAGCCCATCAGTATACTTTACTTCCTAGTTTCTATCAACGTATTTCATTAGTTTCATACTGTTTTACTTATCCTAAATCTAAACAGATTTGCTCAAAAGGAGACTATTCTATTTGTAAAGTCCTTAGTGATACATGTATGAGCTTTGCATGGACGAACTAAGCACATGACCCTTCCTTGTATATTCAGAACCTGAACATACATGTAAAAACAGGATCCCATTTTGACAGATGTGAAACTACCATTTGTAATAAATAATTATATAATCTACCACCTGTATTTAAAAAATGACTCCCACCTCTCCAATTTCCTTCTTGGTAGTCCTCTGCCACCACTTACATGCTGGTGCTCCTCAGAGCAATGACTTTTGCCCTCTTTTCACTCATGAAGAGTGAAAAGGCCATCTCTAGGCCGTCTGCCCCAAACTATGGCTTCAACTACCATGTTTTTGTGGTGAGGTCTTCAAAGTGACCTACCTACCTAGACTACCCCCCAAAATGATGGCTCTCATTTAGCCAGGTGGCTACTAGAAATGGCCATCTGGATGGCCTCCTCCTGGCTCCTCGTCTCCATAGCTTTTTTTCTAGCTCAGTGTATTCAGCTGTCCAAACCCAAAACTTTTTTTTTTCCTCACCAGAGGACATTTTTGCATTTATCTTCAGATAAAGCAGGAGAGGAGGGAGGAAGAGAGAAACATCCATGTGAGAGAGATACATCGAGTGGTTGCCACTCACACGACCCCAAGCAGGGCGGGGACAAACCGAGGTACACGCCCTTAGCGGGAACCAAGACTCTCTGGTCTGCAGGCCGACGCTCTAACCACTGGGCCAAACCGGCCAGGGCCAAGCACGAAACGTCTTACATGCCTCCCAGCAGTAAGCCTGTCCAGGCCTGGAGCATGGCCATCCTGCCAGTGAGGGCCTTCATTCCTTGCTGATCCCGTTGTAGTGGTCTCTCAAGTGCCCTCTTTGCCCTGCCCTTCTTTCAAGTCTGCTGCCAAAGAAATTTTTATATTTTGTCTTAACATGTCCTCCTACATAAAATCTTAAGGGCTCTTAATACACCAAGGTACAAGTCATTGCTTACTCTGCCTCATCTCTGTATCACCCTGTCCACTTCCCTGATGACAATAAGCAGTTGAGCTGACTGGGGTACCTCCTCCCCTTGTACTTATGGATCCAAAACGAGTATTCATCTTTCACAATTTGGTTCATGGTTCACCTCTAGAATTCTCTTGTGACCTCTAACCCTCACAGTAAAAACTAGCTACTCCACCCTTTTGGGGTTCCTCTGTGACCTGGACTGTTTATAGATGTCTTCTCCATGTGATCATAAAAGCCCCTCAATGGGAGGAACTATGCCCTAGTCAGTGAGGGCTAGTGTTCCTGTGGCCAAGCAGTACTTGGCACAGAACAGACCCAAAGGCCATGTCTTCAGAGCATGCACTTAACCTCTGAGCTGACCGAGGCAGGCCTGCTTCAGCACCCCTTGAAGTTGCTTCACCAGTACGCTCCCAGGCTCAGTGAGCTGAGGGGGCTCAGACACCAGCCCAGAGTAGGGCCAGTCAGATACCGAAGGAAGAAGGCTCTAAGCAGTGTCTCAAAGGGACCCCTGCCCTCCGCTCCACCCTCACCTGCCTTTCACTGCTGCATGGTTCCCCGCTTGGTATAAACCCAAACCGGGACATTGGAGTTTGAGTCCTAGTATCTTTCAAACTTACATTTGACTTTGTCGGGTCCTACCTAGTTGGATTTGAGGGTTCAAGGGGTCTTGAATGCAAGTTAACCAGAAGTAGAGAAGGGAGACCATTAGGGCTCTGGAACCTAAAGGTAAAAGGAACAGCAGGGTGGGAGACACCAGCTTGAGGCAAGCCCGCGGCTGCTATGGGAAAGGAGACTGGGCAGGTCAGTGCTGCTCTTCAGTCCCTTTTCAAGTCGTGACTTACTTTGTGCCAAAAGAACAACACAGACACAAACAATAATATTTTATTATTTAAAAAAAGCATCCCAAATATAGAATTTCGTAAACACTGGTAGGTAAACATGTGCAACTTTAAATACAAAGTAAAGAGGCAAAACTAAAGGCATTTTGCCTTTAAGATAAAACGTTCTGCAGCGGTGGTCCCACCCAGAGCACGAGTGTGGCTCCATCTCCCATGAAGGCATTGGGTTTGCATTCTGAACTCACTATGCCCACTTTAACAATTTTTAAATGATGGCAAGAAGTGGCATTGAATAGATTACTCAAACCCCTTCTTAACTTTCTATTTTCACTTGATAAAAGAGGCTCCATATCACACTTTGACAGTTTGAATTAAAGCCTGTGTTCTGATTGTTTTTACTTACACAAGGACCTGTGGACCACTATTTGCAAATATAGCTACCCTTCCTGGGCTTATTCCACAGTCTTTTCAGAGACCTGTCTACATTAAATATCACATCATGCTCTTGGATTTTAGTTGAAATATTGGTTATGCATATTGTGTGCAGTAAATCCAGCTACTTTCTAGCTGCTTTAGCTTTTACTGTCATTCTTTCAGTACTTTTCTTCCTCTTTAGAGAAATCCTTAACATTACCAGACATATTTTAACACTGTCTCCTTGCCCACTACTCTCCAAGTCCTCAATGGCAAATGTTTCCTACTCAGCTATACATAGGATATAGACCCGGATTCTAAACCTCAAATTCAGGTTCACCTTGGCTTGTTGATATCTCTGAGTAAGAGAGTCTGGGTAAAACCATTTCCTTATGAAAATGTTTATGCATAAATCACCTGGCTTACTTATTTAGGCACTTAGAAAAAACACCAAACCTGAGTCCCACCTTTGTATTAGAAACACCTCTTGCCCAGGTGGTCAACTGATTCTGAAGGGAATGACCACAACCCAGCCCTGTCAAGGCTGAGAGGTCCTGCCATGGCAGGATGTCCTGGTCCTGGGAACAGGGCAGATATGACTGAGGGGAGCCACCAAATTATAGTGATGCTAAGCTCCAGGCTGGGAGGGCATGGGGTGCAGGAGAAACCTCCCTCTCCAGCAGGAGCCTGAGGGCCCAGCTTTTTCCTGTCACCACCATCTGGTGACACTGGCAGATTTACCTCCACAGTTTTCCATGGGGCCAAAAGCACATTAACCCAATTTGGGGAAAAGAAATCTAGTTCTTGAAAGCCAGAGTAAATAATCATTTACATAGAAAAAAGTATTAAGTACATGCCATACCTTCACACCTGGCTTTCCACCTAAGCAAGGACTAATGAGTATTAGCTGCAGCGTGTCAACACTTACTAAACGTTAACAACACATCAGCTGTATAACAGAAGTTCTACGTACATCACAGACTACACAGTCAATGCAAATTTCCCTTGTGATGACATGGAATTCAATGGAAAAGTGTAAACGAAGCACCATTAAATGACCATTAAATGACGACTGGGCTGACTACGAGTAGGCATGGATGTACACTAGTAAGGTCACCGCCAAACCTGACCTCAAATGTGAGCCAAGTTTCACAGAAATAAAACTACCCACTGGCTACAAAAGAACCCTAACCCTAACCCTTAACCCTGACCATCAGCCTTACAAATGGATGCCAATGGTAACTCTATAGGTGGGGGTGGTTCAGTGTAACCCCTACTACTTTTTCAGAGTAAGGAACAGCATTGATTTCCACTGCGATGCTGACCACACACACAGAGAACACAATTCTTTAGACACTTGTTCTTCAAGCCTGGAAAGAGCAGCTTTCTACATCCATCTGTCTTCAACTTTGGAGGACTGTGACTAGCGCAGTCAAAACAATCAAGCAGTTTGCCTTAGAGCATTTTATGGGAACAGAATTTAAGAAAACAGGTCATGCTCTTAACTTCAAGAAAACTATGTGCCTCTTTATAATTTGTGATGAGTAAATGCTCCGGGTAGGTGATTGGAAGGCCAGCCTGTACCACAGTGGGAGCTAACCCCATGACACATCTGGCTCCAGCCATGGGGACATCGGGGAAGGTGGTCCAGTGCTGGGGAGAGGGACCTGGCTGTCACACACTGTGCATTAACATGTAGCTAACAGAGCAAACACAATTACTAGGTCTAATTTCAACTCATCCTTCCTTTGGGGATGACATTAGTATGGTTTCTTACTTAGTGTGAGCAGCTGGTAGGCTATTTCAAAATTAAAATATCTACTATCCAAAAAAATTCCCTAAGTATGAAAAGAATATACAAAGAAAAATCCTGTACTGGGACAAAGTCTGGGCAGGTGATGTGTCCCCACCCAGCTTCACCCCAAATGTGCCCTCACTGGAGCTCTATACGTCTTCCTATTGAGAAACTGAGCCTTTGTAAGAAATTTTTGTCCACATCTTGAAAGCCATTAAGTCATATCTAAGGTCTCCCAGCCACGCCCACAGCAACATGTTATTCCTGGGCGAAGACCTCCGGCTGCTCCTCACCAGATTCTAAGCCAGGACCACCCAGGTGGCTTGATCTGGAGAGGTTCTACTTGAGTTGTGCGTTTCCTTCTAAATGAATAATCTATTTAGGCTCAAACACCATGATGCTAAGGTTTCATAAACACCATTATGCCATTTTCCTTCCTGTAATGGAATCTGTGTGATTCTGGTATGTTCATTGCATTAATGACAAAACTATATTTAAGTGCCTAAGAATTTCCTTTTAGACATTTTGAGTGAGAGCCTAGTTCTTCCCTGATGCAATCTGAGCACAGATGCCACCAGGAAGGGCATCTTTACTGATTTCTAATGAGTATGCCATTAGTGCCTATTTTTAGAAGATAGAGATTGTCTCCTTTTAAGTTTGGTCCCTTTGCTGCTAAGTAATGTGCCTGGTATAAAACAAAACACACACAAGTCAAGACACAGCATAAAGGATGAGAAGGGTTTTGCTGAATATGAGGCAACAGGAGTCCGACTTCCTTTCCTGCTTTTGCAGTTGTGCAAAGGCTCAGTGAACAGCACCAGACCTAAAATTTCAAGTTACCAGGGCTGCAAATAGCTGGTAGCCTAATCACCAAGAAGTGCTTTTACATCTCCACGGAGGTGCAGATATACTGAAAAGGACGAACATTAGTTATGGGAGAAAGAGAAAGGATGGGGAGAAGCATGTCCGTACTCATGGGGAGGACTGGCTTTGGCAGCCCAGACAGAGACAAGCTTCGCAGAGGGGTGGACCATAGCTGGCCTTAATCCTGAAAGTCGTTAGAAGCCATCTGAGAAAGTGGGGCATTTAGCCGGTCAAGTTCATCCACTTGGGGCGGGTGATGCATTAATATCTCCTGGTCCTCCAAGACGTCTTCTCCAGCAGCTACTAGATTAGTGAGGGATTTGCTCCGAACACACTGGAAATCCACATGGCGACTCTTTCCTTCTTCCTTTTCCCATGACATCTGGATAAACGGGCGCTGCACATAATTATAGATTACTTCAGATCGGCCACCAGGTCTTCTCTTAATTTTTTCTTTACAGGTAGGGTAACCTGAAACAGAAAAAGACCATTCTCATTACTTCAGCAAATGCTCACTCTGGCTTCCATACTTCCTCACCACATCAATTTCCTCCCAAATCCAAAGACTATGCATGAAAATTATGGGGGAAGCAAACAGCCTCTGACCATGTCTTCCCAGCCCCAATCAGCTACATGTTCAATTAGTTGGTCTTATCTCTAGAAGGGAAGTAACAAAAATTCTATTCCTTCTAATGGAAGGGGAAGAGAAGCCTCTTACTAATTTCAGAAGCCTTTCGTTACTGGCAACAATACTATAGAACAGTCCTGCTAGGGCATGGCCACGCCAGTCTTCTAATTGTGTTGCTCACAGGGCACACTGTATAAGGACTAGTTAAGGGAATGTGGAATGTTTAGCCTAAAGAAAAAACGTGGATGCTGCCTAAAATATCTGAAAGGCTGTCACATGGAAACGGGAAAAATTTAGAGTAGCTTTAGAGTCTAGACCAGCGGTTCTCAACCTATGGGTCACGACCCCTTTGGGGATTGAATAACCCTCAGAGGTCGCCTAAGACAACAGTAGAAAAATTACAGTTATGAAGTAGCAATGAAAATAATTTTATGGTTGGGGGTCACCACAACATGAGGAACTAACTATATTAAAGGGTCGCAGCATTAGGAAGGTTGAGAACCACTGATTTAAAGCAATTCTGTCAATACGTCCAGGCATTTCTCAAAGGTATGTAACTGAATAAACTTAAATTTTGTGTCTCCAAGCTAGTTTTCAGAAGGACCCTTCCAGATCCCAGAAAGATCCTCACCAAGACTGTTGGCAGAACAGCCCTCCCGCTTGGTGAGCCCACGAGACCTGCTCCATTTACCCACCAGAGCCTTAGCCCTCACCGCTCTCTCTCTATCCCAAGGCAGGAAATTGGAACTTATTCCTGCAGCTGCTTTAAAACATTTTCAACTGGAAATAAAATGAAAAGGAAATGTAAGGGAAAACAAAAACAAAAATAAAGGTCCTTAAAACTTGGGTAGAAATGTAGTTTTCATGTGTGTCCATTGTTTAGGTGCTCTGGAAACTAAGTTTTAAGGACAGTTCCAACCTACTCCATAAGCAATGCAAGCTGAATACTGACTGGGATGTTTTTACCTTCAATTCCAATGCGAATGTTTTTCAGGCCACGTTCCTTTAACACTGTTTTAGCAACATCCCGATTCTCGATGTATTTGAAGAATCTGTAGAGCTTGGAGCTATAAAGAACTGGGATTAAAAAAAAAAAAAGTCTGGGGTTACTTATGGAGCAGTCTTCTCCATAAACGGAAGATGAGTTAACAGAATCAGACTAATGAAAGTAGTATTTCTTTTGGCCCCAATGCCAATAAAATCCAGATGAATCACAGATTAAATGTTAAATAATAAATTAACCATAAGAAATCATACAATCCCTGGCCAGCTTTCTCAGTGGTTAGAGCATCGGCTCTTGGACCAGAGGGGTCGAGGGTTCAATTCCCAGTCAAGGGCGGCAGGTACCTGGATTACAGGTTCGATCCCTAGCCCCAGTTGGGGTTGTTTGGGAGGCAATTAATTGATGTGTCTCACATCACTGTTTCTCTCCCTAAATCAATGGGAAAAAGTATCCTTGCGTGAGGATTAACAAACAAAATTAAAGATGTTCAATCTCCTTCAGAAATGAAGGATACACTAACTGAAATAAAGAATAATTTACAAAGAATTAGTAGCAGAGTAAGTGAAGCTGAGAAGCAAACCATTGATTTGTTATATAAAGAAGCAGAAACCACCCAATCAGAACAGAAAAAAGAAAAAAAAAAACAAATAAAGACAGTGTAAGGAGCATCTGGGACAATTCCATGCGCACCAACATTCGCATCATGGGGGTGCTGGAAAGAAGAGAGAGAACAAAAAATTGAAAACCTATTTGAAAAACTAATGACAGCCCTGGCAGGTTTAGCTCAGTGGTTAACAGCACTGGCCCGTGGAACAATGAGTAGTGGGCACGTGCCTTGGTTGCAGTTGATCAATGGCCCTGGTTGGGGTCATGCAGGAGGCAATCAGTCGATGTGTCTCTCTCAGAGCATCAGTGTTTCTCTCTCTCTCCCGGTCCCACCCTCCCTCACACTATATCTGATGATAAATGGAAAAAATATCCTCGGGTGAGGATTAAAAAAAAAACTTTCCTAACTTGGTGAAGGAAACAGACATATAAGTCCAGGAAGCACAGAGAGTCCCAAACAAGATGAACCCCAAGAGGCCCACACCAAGACACATCATCATCAAAATGCAAAAGGTTCAAGACAGAATCGTAAAAGCAGCAAGAGAAAAACAGTTAGTTACTTACAAGGGAGCTTCCCATAAGTCTGTCAGGTGATTTCTTAAAAGAGAGTGGCAAGAAACATTCAAAGTGATGAAAAGCAAGGACCTACAACCAAGATTACTCTATCCTGCAAAGCTATCATTTAGAATCAACGGACATATAAGGAGCTTCCCAGACAAGAAAAAGCTAAAGGAGTTCATCACCACCAAAACAGTATTATATGATAATGTTAAAGGGTCTTCTTGAAGAAGATAAAATATATGAACAATAAAGTGGAAATAAATACATTTCTATCAATAATTGAATCTACAAATAAAATGAGCAAATAGAACAGAAACAGACATAAATACAGAGAACTTTTTGTTGATTGCCACATGGGAAGGAGATGGAAGAGATGGGGGAAAAAGGTGAAGGGATTAATAAGTATGAACTGGCCCTGGCCTGTTTGGCTCAGCGGTTAGAGTGTCGGCCTGCAGACCAGAGAGACCTAGGTTCAGTTCCTGCTAAGGGCACGTACCTCGGTTGCAGTTTGTCCCCGACCCCGGTTGGGGTCGTGTGGGTGGCAACCAGTCAATGTGTCTCTCTCTCACATCAATGTTTCTCTCTCTCTCCCTCCTGCTCTGTCTGAAGATAAATACAAAAATTTCCTCGGGTGAGGATAAACAAAAAAAAGAAGTACAAATTGGAGAGAAAAATGGCGGCAGAGTGAATGGACGCTACACAAATTGTCTCCCAGTACCAAACTGGAATTAACAGCTAAAATAAAGACAAATCATTAGGAAAAAACAACTGAAAAGCAGCTGGAGAGAACCCTTAAAACCAAGGACATAAAGAGGACCCCAAATTGAGACTGGTAGGAGCTGCGGAGGCGTGAGAAGACTGGCTGGCTGTCCACAGGCAGCAGCTGAGGATGTTTTATATCTGTAAGCACTTCTCTCTGAGAAGTCATGGGTTAAAACCGGCTCCCCAGCAGAGTGGAAGAACAGAGAAAAGCGCCCACATAACATCTGGTTGAGAAAATCACCAAGAGTAGAGGTTTTTTCTAGCAGGGAGAGGCACAGGGAACAGCAGCACTTCCCTGAAGGGCCAGTGCACTAAATTACAGCTACACCCACTCACCATGGACTCCAGCAGAGGGAGAGCAGACTGAATTGGAATTGTATGAGGAGAGTCGGGGGTTTGTGGCACTAGGGAGAGAGCTGAGAAGGAGGCCATCAGGAACTCTATGCTGAATCACTCCCCCACAGAACACAGTGCCATTTCCCACAAAGAGCCTCACCCCAGACTGTAGCCTGGGAAAAAAGCAACTGCCCCTCCCTTGGAAATTTAACACCACCTGGCCTGGAAAAGTGCAACCTGAGGCTCATTAACAGACCACCTGCCAGCCAGTAGGCAGAGAAAAGCCTCTTAAAGCTTTGAGATTTGAACCTGGCTCTCAGTGTTGGGTCATGGCTCTGAGGACTGAGCTGTGAAGGCTGAGGCCTGCACCTCTGTGCTGAGCCAATAACCCATAGTGCAGAAACAACTTTCTTATCAAAGCAACTTTAACCCAGTGGAAAGCAATTGACCCACCTGCTGGAAATCCTGTTACCCTGTCCACCTGAGGCTCATTAAGTAACTGAAACTAATAGCTGCAGGCAAAAGCTCTAGGATAATTAAATCTTTGCTTGGTCTGCAACTCTATCCAGGAGAGTAAGAGCAGACATTGGTGTTTAGTGTGGTCCCTTAATACTCATCCAAACCCAGTAGAGGGAGCCACAATCAGCAGAACACAGACACCCACAGGGAAAATTTGGCAGGCTCCAAAACCCACTGAGAGTCAAAATGGCAAAACAAAGAAACAAATCCCAAATGAAAGAACAAGAAAATTCTACAGAAGGGATAAATGAACTGGAATTAAACATGTTATTAGAGGTAGAGTTCAGAGTAATGATTATTAGGAAGTTCAACAGCATGAGTACAGATATAGAAACAATGAAAATTAACCAATTGGAAATGAAAAACCACCAAGCGAAAATGAAAATGACACAGTAGAAATAACACACTGGAAGGAATAGAGGAAAACCAAGGACAGGATCAGTGAATTAGAAGACATGGTAGGGAAAAAAAAAAAATCACCCAATCAGAGAACCAAAAAGGAAAAACAAAGAAAAGGAGGACAGTTTAAGAGAGCCGTGGGACAATATGAAACGTAACAACATCTGCATCATAGGAGTTCCAGAAGAAGAAGAAAATGAGCAAGGGTTAGAGAATATATTTGAAGAAATAGTGGCAGAAAACTTCCCTAACTTGGTGAAGGAACAAGGCATATAAGTTCAGGAAGCACAGAAAGGCCCAAGTAAGGAGAACACAAAGAGGCCCACACCAAGACAAATCATAATTAAAATGCCAAAAGTTAAAAACAAAGAGAGAATCTTAAAGGCAGCAAGAGAAAAGCAACAGGTTACTTACAAAGGAGCCTCCATAAGACTATCAGCTGATTTCTCAAAAGATACACTACAGGCCAAAAGGGAATGGCCTTGTGTGGCAAGGTAATGAAACACAAAGATCTGAATCCAAGACTACTCTATCCAGCAAGGCTATCATTCAAAATAGAAGGTGAAGTAAAAGTTTCCCAAACAAAAATAAATACTAAGGGACTATATTAGTGCCAAACCAGCCCTGTTAGAAATGTTAAAAGGACTGCTGTAATAAGCAAAAGAAAAAGAGATAGAAACATAGCCATAATAAATTAAAATGGCAATAAATAAGTATAAATCAATAATAAACTTAAATGTAAATGGATTAAATGCTCCCAGCAAAAGACAAAGAGTAGCTGAATGGATAAGAAAGTATGACTCATTTATATATTGTTTACAAGATCCACCTCACAACAAAAGACTCACATAGGTTGAAAGCGAAGGGATGGAAAAAATTTTTCCAAGCAAATGGAAAGGAAAATAAAGCTGAGGTAACAATACTCATATCTGATGAAATAGACTTCAAAACAAATGCCATAACCAGAGACAAAGAAGGCCACTATATAACATTGAAAGTCTCTATCAAACAGGAGGATATAACCTCAGTAAACATATATGCACCCAATATAGGAACACCAAAATATAATTAAAAACTTCTGGAGAACTTAAAAGAAATCAACAACAATATAATCATAGCAGGGGAATTCAACATCCTGCTAACATCACTAAATAGATCCTCTAAACAAAAAATTAACAAGGAAACAGAGATGCTAAATGATGCACTAGTTCAAATGGATTTAACAGATATTTACAGAGAATTAAACCCCAAAACTGCAGAATTCACACTCTTCTCAATGTGCACATGGGACATTCTCAAAGACAGACCACATGTTAGGACACAAACTAAGTATGCACAAGTTTAAGAAGACTGAAATCATATCAAGCATCTTCTCAGATCACCATGGCATGAAACTAGAAATTAATTACAATAAAAACACTCAAAAACATTCAACACATGGAGACTAAATACATGTCATTAAACAATGAATGTGTTCCCAATGAGATCAAGGAAGAAATAAAAACCTTCCTGGAAATCAATGAAAATGAACACACAACACAAAATCTGTGGAGCACAGAGAAAGCAGTCCTGAGAGGGAAGTTCATAGCACTACAGGTCTACCTCAAGAAAAATTTGTATTAGACTATATATCCCTACAAGTTAAAGAACTAAAAAGAGCCCTGGCTGGTTTGGCTCAGCGGTTAGAGTGTTGGCCTGCGGTCCTGAGACCCGGGTTCGGTTCCCGCTAAGGGCGCGTACCTCGGTTGCAGTTTGTCCCCGGCCCTGGTCGGTTGTGCGGGTGGCAGCCACTCGATGTGATCCTTTCACATCGATGTTTCTCTCTCTCTCTCTGTTCCTCTCTCTCCCTCCCACTCTACCTGAACAAAAAATGGAAAAATGTCCTCAGGTGAGGATTAAAAAAAAAAACAAAAAACTAAAAAGAAAACAAAAATAAAAACCCAAAGCAAGTAAGTAGAAGGAAAGAAATAGTAAAGGTCAGAGCAGAAATAAATGACAGAGACTAAAAAAACAATTCAAAAGATCAATGAAGCAAAGAGCTGGTTCTCTAAAAAGATAAACAAGATTGATGAAACTTTAGCCAGACTCACCAAGAAACAAAGAGAGAGGACCCAAATAAACAAAATCAGAAATGAAAGAGGAGAAGTAACAACTGACACCACAGAAATACAAAGGAATGTTAACAAATACTATGAACAATTATACGCCAACAAATTGGACAATCTAGCCAAAACGGACAAATTTCTTAAATCACACAGACTCCCAGAACTGAACTGTGAAGAGACAGAAAACTTGAACAGACCAATAACAACTTAGGAAATTGAAGATGTAATAAAAAAAACTCCCAACAAACAAAAGCCCGGGCCTGGAGAACTTCACAGGGGAGTTTTACCGAACATTCAAAGAAGAACTAACACTCATTCTCCTCAAACTATTCCCAAAAATTCAAGAAGGAAAACTTCCAAACTCTTTTTATGAGGTCAGCATAATCATAATTCCAAAACAAGATAAAGACACTATAAAAAAAGAAAACTACAATATCCCTGATGAACATAGATGCCAAAATCCTTAACAAAATATTAGCAAATTTGATCCAGCAATACTTAAAAAAAATCATTCACCATGACCAAGTGGATTTCATCCCAGGGAGGCAAGGCTAGTACAATATTCACAAATCAATAATTGTGATACGCCACATAAATAAAACGAAAGATAAAAAACCATATGAATCATATCAATAGATGCTGAAAAAGCATTTGACAAAATACGACACCCATTTCTGATAAAAATGCTCAGCAAAGTGGGAATAGAGAGATCATATCTCAACATAATAAAGGCCATATATGAAAAACCTACAGCCAACATCATACTTAACGGACAAAAACTAAAAGCATTTCCCTTAAGAACTGGAACAAGACAGGGATGTCCACTTTACCACTCTTATTTAACATAGTACTGGAAGTCTTGGTCAAAGCAATTAGACAAGAAAAAATAAAAGGGATCCAAATCAAAGAGAAGGAAGTGAAACTGTCATTATAAGCAGATGACATGATACTGTACAGACAACCATAAAGACTCCATCAAAAATCTACTAGATTTAATAAACAAATTTGGCAAAGCAGCAGGATACAAAATTAACATCCAGAAATCAATGGCATTCTTATACACCAATAATTAACACTCAGAAAGGTAAACTAAAAAAACAATCCCATTTACCATGGCCACAACAAAAAAATACCTAGGAATAAACGTAATCAAGGAGGTAAAAGGCCTGTTCTCAGAAAAGTACAAGACATTGAAAATAGAAATAGAGGAAGATATAAAAAAGTGGAAACATGTACCATATTCATGGATTGGAAAAGTCATCATTAAAATGTCCACACTACTCAAAACAATCTAGAATCAATGTAATCCCTATTAAAGTACCAGCAGCATCTATTAGGTATTGTGAATACCTATTAAAGTATTAACAGATCTAAAACAAATACTCCAAAAGTTTATATGGAACTATCATACAAGACCCTGAATAGCCACAGCAATCTTGAAAAAGAACAACAGCCCTGGCCGGTTTGGCTCAGCGGTTAGAGCGTTGGCCTGTGGTCCTGAGAGACCCGGGTTCGGTTCCCGCTAGGGGCATGTACCTTGGTTGCAGTTTGTCCCCGGCTCTGGTCAGTCGTGCGGGTGGCAGCCACTCGATGTGTCCCTTTCACATCGATGTTTCTCTCTCTCTCTGTTCCTCTCTCCCCCTCCTACTCTACCTGAACAAAAAAGGGAAAAATGTCCTCGGGTGAGGATAATAAAAAAAAAGAAAAAGAAAAAGAACAACAAAGTGGGAGGGATCACAATACGAGATACCAAGTTATACTACAAAGCCATCATAATCAAAACAGCCTGGCACTGGCACAAGAACAGACATATAGATCAATGGAACAGACAGAGAACCCAAGACAGTCTCTTCAACAAATGGTGTTGGGAATATTGGACAGCTATATGCCAAAAAATGAAACTAGACTACCAACTTACAGTATACACAAGAACAAACTCAAAAGGGATAAGACTAAAATGTAACCCATGCAACCATAAAAATCTGAGAAGAAAATATAAGCAGAAAAATCTCAGACATCATACATAGTGGAATTTTCCCTGATACATCAGCCATCAGTAGATGAGTGGATAAAAAAGTTGTAGTACATTTTCACAATGGAATATTATGCAGCTATAAGAAAGAGAGATCTCTTACCCTTTGAGGTGAGATGGAGGGACCTGGAGAGTATTTTGCTAAGCGAAATAAGCCAGTCAGAGAAAGGCAGGTATCACATGATCTCACTTATTTGTGGAACATAATGAACAAAATAAGATGCTGACCAAAACAGATCCAGAATCATGGAAGTAGGGAACAGACTGACAAACGTCAGAGGGATGGAGGGGTGGGAAGAGATAAACCAAAGAACTTACAGGCATATACGCACAACCAATCAACACAGACATTAGGCTAAGGAAGGCAGGAGGGAGATAGGAGCAGGAAGGAGGTGGATCAATGGGGAATAAAGGGGGACATCTGTAATACTTTCAATAAAAAAATAATATTAATAAAGAATTGAGGGGAAAAAAGTACAAATTGGCTGTTAGACTGATGAACCTCCAAGGGAAGGGGGGAGGAGGGGTGGGAAGAGTTAAACCAAAGAACTTATATGCTTATATGCATAACAAACTAGCACAGATAATAGTGTGGGGAAGGCAGGACAGGGATGGGAGTGGGAAGAGGGGGTCAAAGGATAGAAGGGGTGACATATAATACTTTCAACAATAAAAATAAAATAAAATAAATGGTATAGAATAGTCTATAATATGGTATCATTTGAAAGAAAGGAAAACATGTAAGTGCTTTTGTATGTGCATTAAATACATCTAGAAGAAACTGAGGAGGAAAACTGGATAGATGAGGCGGGGTGGGAATAAGACTTTTCAATGTATATCCTTTTGTACTTTTTGAATTCTGAATTATTATCAATTTAGAAGGATTTAAAAATGAAAATTGTCACCACCATCTAAGGTGCTACCTTAGAATTGACATAGTATCAGACACCAGTTGTAGCATGAAGGTGTAACATTCACTATGCATAAAAGTTAGACCTGCATCACTAGACTGAACTGATCATCCAGGTCAGTGTGTTCATCACTAGCTCAACAGTGATATTCACATTGGTTCTAGGATTTAGTGCTACTCTTGGGTATCAAGTGTTCTGCTAAAAACATCTACACCATGCAGGTGGCTCCTACTTTGGGAATATTCCTCCCCCATGGGTGGGGGATGGTCTTCATCCCAGTCCACAGAATCCTCATCTGTCAGCACAACGATGTGGCACTCTCGCTCCCCTTTCTTGGCACAGCCCACCATAATGGGCAGGATCAGTTCTTCGAGGTAGTGATCAAACTGCTTGTGAGCACCGTCATTAGACAGTTCATGTAGTAAAGCACCTGGGGAGAGAAAATACAGATGAACGTCCTTTCTGCCCAAGTGCATATTTTACTGGAGTGAAAACGACTATCAACTGGGTAACAGCTGTTATCATTGATAAGGTCCAGAGAAGTGACTCATTTGAAGGCAGAGATTGTTTCCTGCTCCAAGGCGATAATTAAGCTGATTTTGTTAGATACTTCACATTCTACCATGCCTCTATTTGCTCATGTTTAATAATCCCTGAGCATTCTGATCAATGGAGGTTTTGTTGACCATATAGTGACATACCATAAACATTAATTCTACGAGAGAGAACCATCATTTGGGAATGTGTCTCTTTGTAGTACCTCTTCTAAAGATGCTCTGTACCCCAATTTAATGGAGTTAGAATACCACAGAAGAGGAATAATCTGAAGTTTGGAGACACCAAGGGACTTGCTCTAAGTATATACTAGACCCAGTAGACAAATCACAAGTCCAGAGAACTACATGGAATCTGCAGGGAATTGTATCATTAACTTCAAAGAACATAATTCCAGCAAGCCTAATAGGTAATGATAAAAGCATGGAGTTTGGAGTCAATCAATTCTAATGTTTTTAATTCTTAGGGTTCTGAACAAGCTAACTTCTCAGTCTCATTTGTTAAATGAGTTTATCACCCATCTTTCAGGGTTGTTTATAAGACTTAACACCACCCAGCCGGTGTGGCTCAGAGGTTGATCCATGCACCAAGAGGTTTGATTCCTGGTTAGGGCACATGCCCAGGTTGTGGGCCTGATCCCCAGTGGGGGGGCATGCAGGAGGTGGCCAATTGATGTTCTCTCTCACTGATGTTTCTTTCTCTCCCTCCTTTCCTCTCTCCCCCTTTTTTTTTGGATCCTCACCCAAGGATATTTTTACATTAATCTTCAGATAGAGCTAGAGGGAGAGAGAAACATCGATGTGGAGACACATCGACTGGTTACCACCTGCACAACCCCAACCAGGGCCAGGGATGAACCGCAACCGAGGTAGGTACCCTTGGTTGGAATTGAATCCCGGACTCTGGTCCGAGGACGATGCTCTTACTGCCAGGGACCCCCCTGCCCCTCTCTCTCAAATCAATAAAGAAAAAAAACCCCAAAACTCTGCATTAAAAAAAAACAAAAACACCAAGTTTACATCTATAAAGCCCTTAGCAAACACTAAGTTAATAATAATGATAAAAATAATTATAAAAACCCAGCCAATTTATGTTGTTTGACTTCACTAGTAAGACTTGCCACATATCTAAGAATCAGTACCCTTATTTGTTAAAAAATACCCTTATTTGTCAAGGTCCCAAGAGGGGAAGAAATTAGCTTGGTGACTAATGGGCCAAACTAGATTTAGAACCCACTACACGTTTTCTTTTGTTTACTGAACTTCCTCAAAATACTTTGAAGCAAGAGAGGGAACAGCATAGTAGCACATCTCTGCCTCTACAGATGATTTTCAACCTATACTTGAAACTCTTTCTGTTTAGTAATAAAAAATGCCAATCAATTCCAGGAAAACTAAGTTCAATTTCTCCTGTACTTACTCAGATCTTGACAACGGATAGTGTTGAAGTCAAAGTTAATGCAGAGATAATCACACGTATCTCTAAGGTCTGGGATAGAGATGCCATCAGGACAATTGATGATACCAGTTTTGTAATAATCCTATAAATAGATTAGGAAGAAATACAGGCAAAGAACAAGATGAAAAATTACCTCTTCAATACCTATTCATTGCCAGTTCTGTTAAAGTGACGGGTTACTAGCACTATCACCAAGTTAGTTGATTCATTAAATGGCAAAGTGGCTTCTGTCTATCCTGACAACTTGATACCTGATTGAGCTTATACAGCAAGGAGACTTAAGTAACAGGAATAAAAAATAAAGCGAGAAAGTCAGTAAATGGAAACTAAAGACCCTAAAGTCAGTAACACAGCCTGGTGGAACTCTCAGAGCTTCTGACCATGCGGGCCTGTGAACAGGATATAACAAAAAGACTACTACGCACCAGCACCGTTCGAAAGACGGTTGCACTGATTCCTTCAGCAATCTCATACTCTCCCTTCTCGTTGGGCCGTGTGAAGTTGTACTCTCTTCCTGGTCCAAACATCCTGAAAGACACCAGGCACCAATGTGACTTTCTCCAGCAGGATTCTCACTCCTTCCTAGTATAAATTAACACAGCACTGGGATCCAGCTCCCATGACATACTCAAATCTTAGGAAGTACCTTTCAGACTGAAAAAGAAGGCAGCAATTGCTTTTAGTGTTGGAGTATAAGGGGACATAAAGTTGCAAGTCCTCTAGGTTCACCTGTGGTGAGCTTGTGATAGCAGTAAAGCAGCATCTGCGGAGCTGGCCCTTGGAAAATGCCTGGAGTGTCACGGCTGCCTCCCCTGTGCTCCCCACTGCCCAGGAATCTGCCTGTATATACACCAGGCAGCTCAGGGAGACAGTGTCTTATGCTTCTGGCCCCTCCTATTCCTTTCCCTCTCTATCAATATTTACCTATTCAGTTTGCCAATTCTCAATATTCCTGAGTTCTGCTTTTCAACATCTTATCTGAAAGATGAATCTGTATTAGTAGGTACAGATATTTAATGCTTTCCCTTTCCTGGTCCATTTTAATGGTGGAGCTCTGGGGGTGGGGGGGGGGATGCTCTTCTTCAATCCACGGAGTAACTCTAACTGGAAATTTCTGGTCAAGTAGAAAAGGAGGGTAGGTATTAGGTGTATCAGCAGTCTGACATATTTCAGAGGGGAAGACCTGCTCTGGGCATAAGCTCAGAGGTCATGAGAGTGCAAGGATGAAGACTTGCTTTTGTTATTCATCTTTTCCCGTCCTTCCTCCTCCACTCAGATCCCCTCCAGTAAAAGTGGCCCCATGACTTCTATGGCATTGTGGAACAGGAAGCCAGCATGAAGGACAAGGCAGACAGCTACTATCTACAACCAGCCTAATTTGAGGTCCCAGTGGAGACTCACTGCCATTTCCTTCCTTAACCAGCTCAACTGTTCAAAGCTGTTCGCCTCCACTCTGAATTGGCTGCTTTTCAAAGATCTGAAAGACTCCATATCACATGCTTTCCAAATCACTAGACCATACATAAGAAATTCATCCTGATAAAAGCTGTTTTCAAAGAACGCTGACATTTTTCTGGAACATCGTGAGTCTAGCTGAGATGGCTATGAATCAAAATAGTGAACATGCCATAAATATGATCCCCCTTATTATCAGCAGGACTTCAACTCAGAGATAGTTCTCCAGAAGTAGCATGGATGTACATTAATCCATTCTCAATCTCTCAGCTTCTCCCCTGTGACTAGTGGGCCACATTTGTAAGCTCACTGGCTGGGCTTACAAATACTGTATGTAGCCACAGGACAGAACAAACCTAAGTAACTCTCAGAATTCATGATCTCAGCCAACTCAGCTGACAAACCATTTAAAGAAATCAGACCCTTTTCCTCTTGGGACAACCCATTTCTAGATTCAAAGAACCACTGTCACCCAAGAATCTATTACCCAGAAAATGGTTGCTGCCTTCTCTTTATCATTTTCAGAGGAAATCTACCTTAGCCAGTCTATCCTGAGGAACCCTTTGTGGGGAAGGGGTGCTGGAGGCAGGGCATTAGTAGTAGTGATACCAAGACTTAAAAAAAGGAGTCAAGTCTGATAAAATATAGGGTCAATTTAGAAAATGTTTTAATGGTCTAGTTTAATCTTAATTCAGATGTTTGAAATATATACAGGTTTGGTTTTGATTAAAAATGGTTCATCATGAGTTTGTATGCATACGTTCAAGCACATATTTGAATAGCTGGATCCCATTTAGCCTAAAATTCAGGAAATTCAAATTTAGCGCAATGTTTTGAGTAAAGTTAGATCTTTAAATAACACCTACTTCTAAGTAGTTAAAAACCCTCAAAAGCCAAATGTGTGTGTATATACACACATTATTATTATTTCACTCTTACTCCATTTGCTTTTCCTCATGTTAAAGTCTATAATTGGCACCCTGGCCGGTTTGGCTCAGCGGTTAGAGCGTCCGCCTGCGGTCCGGAGAGACCCGGGTTCGGTTCCCGCTAAGGGCATGTACCTCGGTTGCAGTTTGTCCCCGGCCCTGGTTGGTCGTGTGGGTGGCAGCCACTCGATGTGTCCCTTTCACATCGATGTTTCCCTCTCTCTCTGTCTTCCTCTCTCTCCCTCCCACTCTGTCTGTACAAAAAATGGAAAAATGTCCTCAGATGAGGATAAAAAAAAAAATTAAAAAAAAAAAACTAATAAAGGGGAAAAAAAAAATTTAAAAAAAAAAAGTCTATAATTGGCTAGAAAGAGGATCTCCTAACTTCCAGTCCAGACTCCAAGAGTACTTGTGGACAGTGCTCCTTCTGAGCAAGCTCTTCCCATTTCTTAAATTCTAACCTTAAAAAGCTAGGGCAGGGGGTGATGAGATGAAGATAAGACTATAGTCTGAATGAAACATGAAGAATAAAGAGAGCAATCATGAAACAACAGAACAGTCAGCTATAAGGATTCAGTTTCAGAGAACAAAAAGTCATGATGGATAGAGGCATTAGAAAATGACACTACATCTATTTCCAAGCACACCTGGCAATAGGTGGCAGGCAAAATAACGCTTTTCAGTGAAATGGCTTTGTTGTGTCTTGTGAAACATTTGTCTAATTCTGCTTTTTTAAATTAAAAGACAAAAGGCCAAAAAAGAAAGAAAGAAAACGAACACAATTTACAGCTCTCACCTTATCCCAATATCTTTGACTTGTGGAACTCAGAAAACATTGCTTTTATAAGGTTATGCATATTGGGAATAAAATAAATTAAGTATCTGACTTCTGTTTTACAGTGAGTTTATAGAGGAATAGGGTTATGAGATTTAGCAGATTATTTCCCACTGTTCTGGCTGCACTCCTTTCTTGTTCATTATACTGGCTTTGTAAATAAAAGAAATAACCAGCCCCCCAAACCATCAACACATATAGGTTCTGTATCAGCTTGCTCTCCATCTCACCAAAGTAGGAAGGTAGAAAAATCAGCAACGCAATGCTTTTTATTCTCACATCTAAAGCAAGATAAACAGCAGGTATTCTATTCATAGAGAACAGAGTGCATCTGGAAGGAAATTATCATCAATTACCTTCCCAACATGGTATCCGGGTGAGCAGTGAAAATTTGTGGATTCACCACAAAACGTGTGCCATCTACAAGAAGTGTCACTTTCTCTGTCGCCTGGGAATGAACGTTACTGCCAAAGCCCACAGTGCTGCTTCCAAATCGTTCAGGAGCAATAAAGGGTTCATGGTTCCGTTTACTCCCACTTTGGAAGCAAGAGCCCTTGCCGTCTTCGGGAAGTGGCATTGTGTGAGGGAACTGGAGACTTGCTGGCTGAGAGGCATAGTCAAGTGAAAGGTCTAAAAGATCATACAAACAAACCAAAATAACTCGACAGCAAAAGCTTAGGGGGAAAAATAAAACCCATCTTCTCTAAAAGAAAAAACAAAAAACAAAAAACAGTAAAAGAATTAAACAAAACCCACAGATTTTTAGAGGTATACAGGCAAAAACTCTTGCCTAGAGCAAGAAAAAAATACAACTAGGGACTTATATTGAGCTTTGTTCCGTTGTGTGTGTGTGTGTGTGTATAGAGGGGAATAAAGGCAGTAATACTCACATTTTAAAATAAAACGATCAAAAACTTTAAAAGTAAACTTCTTCATGGTTTTAAAAAATTAAAACATTAGAGAATACTTTCTGTGGCAAACCAGCAATCCCCTGCCACATCCCATTACCGTGCCAGTCTTATTCCACAGAGGCAATAATTTTTTACTTCTCTCTCTAAACACTATATACTTCCTGTTTTATTTAAGGAAACTGCTACCTCTGTATACCAAACTATATATTTTCCATATTCTTTAAACATGTTTCCAAATTTTATTTTCTGGAAAGATAGACCCTAATTACCCAATGCATCATTTTCCTAAAAAAATCACAGAAAAATATATTTTCACTATGCAAAGGAGCACCCTATTATCACCAACACCACTTCTGAACAGGCAGGTCTTGCTATCAGAAGTACAATTCCAGTGCAAATGGCCGTGGATTAGCACTGATGCTTGGAATCTCAGTGTTTGTATCACCAAAGAGCCACTTTCTTTAAATGATTTATTTTATTTTCCTAAACCTGATTCTCATCTATAAAATGAGAATAATGTTCATTCCACCTACCTCACAGGACTATCAACTGAAAGTATGTGAGAGCACTTTTAAAAATATACAATACTATACCATGCAAGAGACTTAAAACTAAATTAATGAAATCTGGATGTACACAGGAGATAAGCAGGAGCAAGTATTTACAAAAGGAGTCCCAGAGGATGCTCTTAAATAAACAGTTCTCCTAATATATTTCATTTTAATGTAAATAATTTTTAATGAAAATTTTCAAATATATCAAAGCATAGAGGTAATACAACATGCATGTATATGTCATTAGATTTGGCTCTGTTAACATTTTTCAGTATCTTCTTCAAAACTTTTTTGGAAAGAAAGAAATATTATAGATACAACTGAATATCTCACTCCCACCCTCCCTGTATTTTAAATCTGTATCCAATATTTCATGAACATGATTACTGCCCATGACCTCTGGGAAATTAGTCTGATTTCAGTTAGATAACCAAATAAACTATTATTAGCTAGAGTAAACTCCCCGCCCCCAGGTTGTTTCTAGAGAAAAGAAACCAAAATCTAGACCAAAAATCAATTTAGGGTTCACATCCTACAGTTTCTGCAGGACTTAAATTTTCAATGTGGCCCTGATTTTGCATACCAAGAGCTAGGTTTCCACACGATCCACAGGCAAATGTGTGGCAAGAAACACCTAATCACCAGACAGGCTTTCACACCAGCAGTACTGTTCTTAAAAATGAAAGTAGGTATCTAAATCACTAATTCAGTTCTCTAGAAAGCTTCATTTGCACCCCAGCAATGAAGCAACTAAATTAGGTTGATTCCTGAAGGGTGCCTCAGGTTTCACCCTTAAACGGATGAGCAGGAAGAGACTCATTGCACAAATTCTCCCTAATGGTGCACTCTAGGGTGGCAGTCACTCTGCTTTTCTGTCAGTAGACATATATATAACAACACAGCCTGATCAGAAAGATGCAGGTTCAAATTCTAGTCCCCTACGTCTTAGCAGTGTGAACCCAAGAAAGTTACCTAAGCTTTTTAAGCCCACGTTTACTCATTTTTAAAAGGAGGACTAATCTAAACAGGCAAACTTTCTGTAAAGGGCCAAAAAGTAAATAATTTGGGCTTTGTGGGCCAGTCTCTGCCATTGTAGCAGGAAAGCAGCCATAGACAATATGTAAACAAATGGGCATGATGGCTGTATTTCAAAATTCTGACAAAAAAAGGCAGCAGTCCAGATTTGACCTGTCTGCCACCCCTGATCTAAACAAATGTTTGTAAAATTTTTATCACAGTGAATGTTCAATAAGTGGTAACCGCTATTATTGTTGCTACTGTTTTTATTAAAAGTTAAAAAGAACAGTTTATCAAGAGCCTTCACATCCATTAACTCAATAATCTTCTAGCCTTATGAGGTAAGAAGTATATTATACTTGTTTTCCAGAAGAAAGTGGGCCTCAGAAAGATTAAGGATTTTACCCATGGTTACAGCTGACAGGAAGCAGAGGTAGTATCTGTCTTCTGTTTGCAAACCCTTGACTATTTTTCTTATACCATTATCGCCAAATTAGATGTGCTAGACTGATTAAGTAAGTGGAGAGTTTCAATGATGGTTAGCTTTATATAATTGTGGTATGTAAATTAAGCCAATGAACTGGATAGCTTATTTAGATTAAGAACATTTATGTCTTCTGAGCCAGTAGTGGATGCTCAGGTGTCAGAAAGCCCTCCAACTTAAGTCAAGATCTAATCACTGTACCATCATTCCTGGGACCTAGAGGATAAGTAAGATTTTGAAGACCAGAAGAAGTCAGGTTATTGGTTTCTTTTTCTTGGGCTGCAGCTGAGGTTTCATCCATCAGACAGCTGGCCTCCTGCCGCAATAACCTGTCGCTCTCACTGCCACGGTGAACATTCATCCTTGGACTCTATGCTGAACTGTCTGCTTGATCAGAAAAAAATCCTGCAAGACAGGAATATGCATGATTTAGAACTCTCTCAAAACAAGTTTCCAAAGACTTCCATGTCATGAAAGCCAAACTAGAGAACTGACAGACAGCTCTCATTCTTGTTCTAAGAAGAAATGATACCTTAAACATCTCTGTAATTTTATGTTGAGAGGAACTGGTTGATTTAAATGGTCTGTTGATAAATCTGTTACTAGGGCATGATTTCAAGCTTCATCCATAAACAGACACTGAATGCACTGACTATGGCCACATTCAGTCAATTCTACTAATATTAAATGGTGTTGCAATAATATGGTGGTGTTTAGACTACAAAAACACAGGAGGGGAAGAGTCTAATTGATCACTTACAGAAAACCTACCATATATTTTAAAAAATCACGACACACACACTCCTACAACAACGAAGCACTAGGACATGCGAAATAATCACTATGATAATGCTAGTATGAGAGCTGAAACCAGAAGTCACCTGCACTAAAAAACAGTTCTCTCTTTCACTTTCTGCAGCTTATACTCAACCTATACTCAACTTCCAACACCCACCTCAAAATTACACCAAGATGTCGGTAGCCATAAGCCTAACTCTCCCCACAGCACTGTGCTATCATCATCACAAGTAACACCTACTGGTGAATGCCACGTGCAAGGTATTCGTTGAATAGGCAGAATGGAGAGGTCAGACAGGTTTCATACCTTTACTACTGAAAACATTCCTGAAGTTCACACTACTTAGTACTTTCAGTTTATACTGTACTGATTTCCACTTGATGTTTTGGTGGAAGAATCATCTTACATCACCAGCAATTTTTATGCATATGGACTGCAGGCTAACACCAATTTAGGAAGAAGTTAGGTCACTAAGGGTACTAACATGTTTTAAAATTCCAAATGTCCCTGACATGCAAGAGTATAGAGGTGCCGATAAATATCTGTAATGTGAATTAAATTCTGAATCCCTTCATAACCTGAATTAATATTTTGTTTTTCATTTTTTTATTGATTTTGTGAGAGAGGAAAGGTGAGGGAAGGAGAAATAGAAACATCGATGAGAGAGAACATCGACTGGCCACCTCTTGCATGCCCCCCACTGGGAATCAGGCCCACAACCTGGGCACGTGCCCTGACTGGGAATCAAACCGGTGATCTCTTGGTGCATGGGTCGACAGTCAAATACTAAGCCACTGGACTATTAATATATTTAGCATAAATTCGATTGATTAGTCCCTGTTTTAACTTGGATGAAATATAAAAATGACCACTTTGGAAAGATGAGTTAGTACATGTGCCTGAAAACAAACTATTTTAAAGAAGAGATACTTTCAGTTGATGAAATCTTTTATTTTCAGACAATGGCTCTTATAACATTAGGCAAATTGAGGCAATAGATGTATGTTCTGACAGAAAACCTGATATGTGGGTACAGTTTTTTCAGGATTACCCTTTCTTCTTCTTTTTTTTTAATCCTCACCCGAGGACATTTTTCCATTCTTTATTCAGACAGAGCAAGAGGGAGAGAGAGGGAGAAAAAGGGAGAGAGAAAGAGAGAAACATCGACGTGAAACGGACACATCGAGTGGCTGCCATCCGCACAACCGAACCAGGGCCAGGGACAAACTGCAACTGAAGTACATGCCCTTAGTGGGAACTGAACCCAGGTCTCTCTGGACTGCTGGCCGTCGCTCTAACCGCTGAGCCAAACCAGCCAGGGCAGGATTACCCTTTCTTAAAGAAAAAACATATCTACATACAAAAAAATGCAGCTACCTAAAATTTGTCCTGGAGACTGGTAATGTCAAACAGAACCACCACTGCCCTCAAGTTCACTTCAGAAGATGTCAAAATCAGGTCTACAGAACAGGATAAAAAATATCCATGGAACTGGAAAGGGCATTCTTACCAATACTGGAAAGTCCAAAAGAGGGTTTGCTTCTTTAAGCTTAACTGGTTTGAACTATAATGTTTCACTCAACCTATAGCTGCTGCTTCTCAATTCTTCACTAACTGTTCAAGAACCAAGTTCTCTTTGTTGCTCTCCAAAAGATCTCTTGGACCAAAATATAGTAAGCTTGAATAAGCCTATCTCTTGAAAATTTGCACAGTCTAGACTGTTTGAATACATGACTGTCTGAATACATTACTTCATTTATTTCTTATAATGTGAAAAAGTTTCATTATAATGGACTGGAATGAAAATGCATTCTTCCTATTCTATAGTACCAAAGCTCAAAACTCAGTTTAACTTGTATACAATCAATTAATAAATATAAAGATATATACATATAAAGATATATTTGGAAGTAGCAGGGTAGATATCGCCAATGAGAGAAAAGAAAGTAACTTGTTGAGTATTAATAAGCATTTTATTTGTATTTATTCCCTTTTTATTACACATAATACATGAAGGTTTCCTTTCTTTCTTTTTTTAATCCTCACCCGAGGATATTTTTCCATTTATTTTCAGATTGAGCGGGAGGGAGAGAGGGAGGAAGAGAAACATCCATGTGAGAAACACACATCGATTGGTTGCCTCCCGCACAACCCCAACCAGAGCCAAGGACAAACCGCAACCGAGGTACGTGCCCTTAGCCAGAATCGAACCTGGTACTCTTTGGTCCATGGGCTGATGCTCATACCGCTGAGCCAAATTGGCCAGGGTGAAGATTTCCTTTCTTAAAAAGGACCTTTTGATTATCATCCCAATCCCAGTCACTTCTCCAAGTGACTATCACTACTTGCTTGATATGAACCCTTTAAACTTTATAAAAATGCATTTATATTACACAGATATAATGTTAAAAGCATATTGTTTTAAAAACAAACTATATTCTATATGCATCTCACTTTCTGTAATATTTCTCTAAATTAATGTTCTTGAGATCCACCCATGTTGGAAGGTCAAGATCTAGTTTATCCCTTTTAACTGTTATATAATATCCTATGAGTCTATTCTATCTACCAATATTGAAGCTGACCTTGCTTAACTATTACAAACAAGCTTTCAATGAATAAGATCAGAGTGTACTATGAAACCAAGACAGGACCCAGTCTGCAGTTTTCCCAAACAGATTTGGTTTCAGTACTCCCTTTTTCAAGAAACTGTCTGAGGATTTATGCTTATCAGCACACACTTTAAGGAATCACCTAATCTGCCCGGCAGGTGTGGTTCACTATCAACCCATGCACCAAGAGGTCGCTGGTTTGATTCCCGGTCAGGGCACATGCCCAGGTTGCGGGCCTGATCCCCAGTGGGAAGCATGCAGGAGGCGGCCCTTTGATGTTCTCTCTCTCTATCTCTCTCTCTCCCCCCCCCTCTTTTCTCTAAGAATTAATAAAGAAAAAAAAATTACCTAATCCAACATTTCCCAAAGTCCCCTATGAATGAATTCCTCTATAATCCTAGAATAACCGAACAAAACTCTCTTGACCAAAGAAACCTAAAAAGTAAACAGTCTGACACCAAATTCTTCAACATACACCAGAGCAGCCAGTTTCAACTTAATATTAAGGGTTTACTTCCCTTCCAGGAAGGATATTTCATTCAACTTTGAATTTATATTTTCAGGTCCTACCACAGTTCAAGATCCCCCAAATGAATCTTGGTCCTCAGAACAGATCTAAGGAAAAACCAAACCAAAACAAACAAAAAAGAAAAGAAAAGAAATAAGCAAAGAACTTCCAACAATATAGTTCTCTACTGCTACAAAACTATTTTTGGCCAACAGTCCTAAAAGTCACAGTAATGCTCAATTAAAAGAAGCAAAGGATCATGACATCCTTGGCACACCTCACAGTAACTAGAGAGACTGCATCGGAAAACAAGGAGTTAGAAATATATTAATGAAACACACTGTATATCTGTGAAGCAAAGAAACTTAACATCCAACAAGCTAGCTCAAGCTTCACTTCCACATCTCACATAAAAGCATTTTACACACTCTGAAGAGCTACACAAACAGTTTTTACTATTTATTTCACAGGCCTTCTATGAAGGCCCACATTTTGTTAAGTTTTGATTTTGCTGACCTGGAACAGCAAAACATTTAGCATCCTAATCTCTCCATCTTGGAAAATTTACATACAATCTTTTAAAAAAAATTTTGTTTTATCCTCACATTTTTACATTTATCTTCAGATAGAGCTGGAGGGAGAAAGGTGGGAAGAGAGAGAGAAACATCATGTGAGACAGACACATCAAGTGGTTGCCACCCATACGACCCCAACCAGGGCCAGAGACAAACTGTAACCGACGTACATGCCCTTAGCGGGAACCGAACCCAGGACTCTCTGGTCTGCGGGCCAATGCTCTAACAGCTGAGTCAAACCGGCCAGGGCAACATACAATCTTTGATAGTGGAATTATCTCCACATATCCCTTGAACCTAAAAAGGGGACACACTGGTAGATTCTCTCTAGAACACTGTCATCTTGAGTATTAATCCAAAACGTCTCTAGATAACAAGTGTATTTTCTTTTTACTTGTAATTTCATCTAATTATTTCTAAAGAAAATAAGATAATTAAACAGGTCACTGTTCCATTAAGTTTAACAGCTTGTCACTAAACTATTCAGCTTTTAAAAATCCAGATGGGGACATACAAATGGCCAAGAGACATATGAAGAAATGCTCAACATCACTAATCATCAGAGAGATGCAAATTAAAACAACTATGAGGTATCACCTCACACCTGTCAGAATGGCCGCCACCAACAAATCATTAAACAAGTGTTGGCGAGGGTGTGGAGAAAAGGGGACTCTAGTACCCTGCTGGTGGGAATACAGACTGGTGCAGCCACTATGGAAAACAATATGGTGTTACCTCAAAAAATTAAAAATCGAAATGCCTTTTGATCCGGTGATCCCACTTCTAGGAATATACCCTAAGAAGCCTGAAACACCAATCAGAAAGAATATATATACCCTCATGTTCATAGCAGCACTATTTACAATAGCTAAGATCTGGAAACAGTCCAAGTGTCCATCAGTAGACGAATA